CCAGGTCTCGTTGCGTTCCTTTTCTACCAACAAGTTCATCTGCTGCAGACCAGGTGAGTTGAGGGCAGGCATTATCAATATAGGATGCCACTCATCTGGCCCTAATTTTACTGATGTGGTCTGATGACCAGGGACATTCCATAACCATTTATCCTGCTCAAGATAGGAGGAGTGTTTGTAGCTCAGTTCCTGGAGAGATGGTTTGTTTGGCTGAAACCTAGGAAGGAGACTAGCCTGTGAGGCCAAAGGAAGAATGGAAATACAGAAGGCGGGGCAGCCATGATTAAATATTTGAAAGGATGTCGCATTGAGGAAGTGTTTTCTGTTGCTCTGGGGAATAGGACAGGGAGCAATGGATTCAAATTGCAGGATTAGAAATTCCTAAACATTAGGAAGAACCAAGATTTTCCCACCCTCAATATAGATTACTTTAAGCATGTGGAAGTATCTTGCATGCAAATCCTTTGTTATGCATACTCTGAGCAGCACTATAGTAACACCACTGTATGTGGAGAACTACCTGCCATTGGACCCCAGAAATCTAGATGTGAATGGGGATGTGAATCCAGGTATACACCTAATATTTAGTGCACTTTTAATCACGTTTCTAAAGGGAATGTCATATATAGACTCAGTGGGGTCTTCTTACAAATATTAGTATCACATACAAGTACTACAGACTTTCTAATTCAAGCCTTACCTCAGCCAGCAATGGTATTTGAAATAGTTTTACATCAGAGTGAGATTGATGTGCTTTACCTTATAAGGTGTGGTCACTAGGTCCTCTGCTTTTTTCATGTTCTGACAGGAGCTGACCTCTATGCCAATGCTATGGCTGTTGGCAACACAGAGATCTTACAGCTGCTATATGATGATGCCACAAAGAAAATCTGCTTCCGTGGCTACTGTGGCACATACATGTCCTTGGTGAGTCTGGGACCAAGAACCTGTGTCAGGAGGAGATGGCTGAAATGAGAGCTACTTCAGTCTATCTTTTTCTTCTTCCTTCAAGTTTGTCTCTTGCTGGCCTCCCCATATGGCTACGTGGTGGAGAGTGGGGGGAGATGAGAAGCAGCTGTTTGTATCCCTAGCACCGGGTGCATAACAATGACATAATCCTCTGGGATCTCCTGAAGACACCCTAAGTTCTACAAGATCCCAAAGAATTCCTTCAAAGTCACCATCCTGCTATGGGGACACAGCCAAATGCTTCTCATCTGCCACCAGTCACCACAGTGTTATGTCCTGAAGGGGAGCATCAGGAGACAGATGATTTTGAGGGAGATGGATATCACTGTATGAGAGAGAGTTGAATTCCTTCCTCTGCAACAGTGGTTCCCAATCCTACCTGAGGGCAACAGGCTGACTTTAAAGTGGCAGAGCCAACTGCCTGAAATGCCCACAGAGGAGTGTGTTACTACCTCTCTCCACATTGTAATGTTCACCATCTCTGAGAACATTACCTTGGCTATTGCATTTCCTCCTAAGCTTATGCATCAATGTACTCTGGTTGTGTCACTCACCCCAACAGCATTCTTTCTAAGCCTTGAAGCAAGACCTAACAAATATATAAATATGGAAAGTAGAAGCACTGATTACTTTCCAGCTATTTTTCCCCCTTTCACAGGGTCCCAATGATTGTATCATCAGTAGCAGTAAGCAAGACAAGAACGTCTGGTTTGATCTCCACTATCAAGACCAGAAGGTGATGCTTCGTATAGGGGACAAGTATGTCTCCATGCGACCAAATGGACAACTGCTGGCCATTCCCAAAGCTGCAGGTACACATCAATGGAGAGGCTATCTAGCATGAGGAGGGCTTCTGTATTGAAAAGTGAACTTGAGTGGGTTGATGGACACAGACTGCAAGCTTTGAATAGTTGTGTATCTAAAAGGGGATCCAGAGACTTTTCTCTCTTACTTTACAGTCTTTGTGAAGTGAAGAAGTGAAAGTTTAATTCTTATTTATTTTGATTGTGCTTTTCCTGCATGGCAGGGGGTTGGACTAGATGGCACATGTGGCCTCCTCCAACTCTATTATTCCATGATTCTATTCTAACACCACCTTTCCAGTGTGGGAGAGATACTGCCAAATATTATCTTTTCCATTTCCAGGAAAAACTGAAGATTTCTTGCTGGTACTGGTGAACCGACCACTGCTAGTCCTGCACAGTGATGCCGGCTATGTGGGATTGGGCTCTGATGTGAGACGGTTGGAAGGGAACTGTGTCAGCTATGTTGCCAGCACTCTGTCACTCACTGAGGAAGGCTTCTACAATTTCCAAATTGGTTAGTATGTCCTGCTTGCATTGGGTTTTTTTTTCTGTGTCAAGAGCGACTTGAGAAACTGCAAGTCGCTTCTCGTGTGAGAGAATTGGCTGTCTGCAAGGATATTGCCCAGGGGACACTTGGATGTTTGATGTTTTTACCATCGTTGTGGGAGGCTCCTCTCATGTCCCTGTATGGGGAGCTGGAGCTAACAGAAGGAGCTCAACACGCTCTCCCCGGATTCAAACCATTGACCTGTCAGTCAGCAGTCCTGCCAGCACAAGCGTTTAACTCATTGTGCCACTGGGGGCTCCCCTTGCATTGGTGACAACTGTTAAAGTTTAAAGAAAAGAAGACTCTAGTTCAGTGGTTCCCAGTCTTTGGTCCTCCAGGGAGTTTGGGCTTCAGTTCTCAGAAGCCCTAGTCAGCTTGGCCAACTGTCAGGACTTTTCGGGACTGAAGTACAAAGCACTTGGAGGACCAAGGTTCAGGTGCCACTGCTCTAGTTTATAATTAGATTAGAACCAAAGGCATAATTAATTACAATTCTCTCCATCCCAAATTAAAGGGAGGCTGGAGACTGATGCAGTAAAATTAGTCCCTTAGAAACTACACTGTACTACTGCCTAATAGGTGTGATCTAGCCTCCCTGGTGTAGTTGAATAAAAATTACTGTTAAAATGTAATTATTTACGTCCCTACTGTATTTTCTATAAATGTATTCCCCAACCCAAGGTCCTGCAGGTAATGGGGAGTATCAGAATTTCTGACCACTTGCCACACTGGTGAGGGATTTGTGGGATTATAAAGAAAGCTTCCTGACAATGAAGCTGTTCAAAAGTGGAAAATGCTGCCACGGAATGTGGCAGAGTCTCCTTCTCTGGAGGCTTTCAAGCAGTGGTTGGATGGCCATCTGTCAGGAGTGCTTGAATGGGGGTGGACTGGATGGCCCTTAGGGTCTGTTCTAATTTTAGGATTCTGAGACCTGAAAAGGACCAGATTAAAATGAATGCTATAGATCACACTTGGTAGTAATACTTTCTATTAGTAAACCATTCTAATTATAAGCAGTCCCTGAATTACAAACAACTCATAGTTAAGAATGGGGTCGAGACAACAGGAAGTGAAAGAAATCAGCCCCTAAGAAGGGAAATTAACTCCTAAAAGAGTTGTCATGGGGGAAAGGTGTTTCTGCAGAAGCTTTATCACCAATCATTATTTCCACAACAAGCCAAAATTTTCAAAATCCAATCACCGAGACAGAAAGTGAGGTAAACAGGGGCACCGACAGCAAAACAAATACCACAGGGGTATTTCCCTTCCCTATGCTATCCAAAGCTTGTGTGTGTGTGTGTGTGTGTGTGTGTGTCTGGAGTTACACTGAAAAAATGTACCTGTTCTGACTTACAAACAAATTCAACTTCAGAACAAACTTAGAGATCCTATCTTGTTTGTAACTTGGGGACTGCCTGTATATGATTTTCCATCAATCAACTAGAAGTCAGGGAAATTCAAAAGTGTAGCTTGTTATGCTTGCATCTTCTCTGACCTCCTCACTTTCATCCCGCTTGATCTGCAGAAGGCAAGTACTGGGCCTTGGAAAAAGATGGACAGATCGCCATCACCTGTGACCATCCCACAAATTTCACAATCCAGTTTGCATCCTCAACCTGCCTTATAATCAGAGCATCCAACAACAAGTTTTTGGTGGCTGAAAATGGAGGCCGATTGTGGGCTGGAGCGGCAGACCCATCTAATGCAACTCTGTTCCATTACTGAGGGCTTTTGGTCTGCCGTGTTCATTAATAAATGTCTGCAGTGTGGGCTCAGTGAATACCACTTCTTAATACAGATGTCCAGGAACAATGCTTTCCCCAGTTTCTAGGAAACTACTCTTCTTTTGCAAGGATAATATAACCAGTTTTTACTTACATATGAAATGGAGAGTATGCATTTGTACTCTTGCAACAAATTGGATGCAGAGCTGCTTTAACATGACTTCAGTGTACCAAGTCCTTCTTTTGCTCTAGTTTCAAGTTTTTGTTTTTATCATCAATGCTAATGCAGACTTGAAATCCGTGTGCTTCTCTTTCTCATGGCCTCTTCTTTGTTGAAATTATTTACTAAACTAGATCAATTCGAAGCTTAAAGTTACTTTGGGTCAGAATATAAAGGCTTTTCCAGAAACTCATAACTTACCAGGTCTGGCATTTGTGGATCTGCATCACCTTTCTTTTTTTGCCGCAGAAAGCATTAATTAGAGTTATCATCATCCAGCAATGTATTAAATGGGACTACTCTTATTATTGCTAACCAATACATACCAGCCACTGTGGACACATCTACACTGTAGAATTAATCCAGTTTGACCCCACTTTAACTGCCATGGCTTAATGCAGTGGTTCCCAACCTGTGGGTTCCCAGAAGCTTTGCCCTCCAATTCCCAGAAATCCTAACAGCTGGTAAACTGGTTGGGATTTCTGGGAGTTGTGGGCCAAAACACCTGGGCACCCACAGGTTGAGAACCACTGGCTTAATGCTTTGGAATCCTCAAAGTTACCGTTTGGTGAGACATCAAAGCTCTTGGACAAAGAAGGTTGAAATCCTTCTAAAACTACAAATCCCATAATTCCATGGCAGTTAAAGTGGGATCAAACTGCATTCATTCTGCAGTGTAGATGCACCCTGTCTTTCTTGAAAAAAAAATGAAAAACTCCATGTGGCTCCAGAAGTTGAAAAATAAATATTTATTCCACAGGTACAGTAGAAAACCAAGTATCACAAATTGTCAATACACATCACAACAATACTGAGTGAGGGAAAGAGTCCAAGAGCCACTGCCTTTGAAACCCTGTGCCCTTGCAGGGATAGGACACAGAAGGTTACAGAGTTAGGGAGGATTGAACAAAAATGCCACAATGAGAGTTGCTGCACACATGCTAGATTCTTGACCCCATGTCAGAACGCCTCCTTCTAGAGGAGATGAAGTACACTGCAGTTGAAGGGCACCACAATCTATAGATTAGGCAGAGCTCGATGGTCCGAACTGTAGAGTTTGTGTGGAAAAACTGCCACCTTTCAAAAGGAATGCTAGGTTGACGGTGGTCCTGTTATGGATAACTGTTGCCCCTTGTCTGGACATGTCTGAAGGGAAAGAGGTACCTACAGCATCTTCTTTTGGCTTGCACAAGAAGCTGAACCCCAAACTTCATCTTGGCTCAGCCATGGAAATGAAGGGTTCTTCCAGCCTTACATTTCGATCTCCACACAATGGAGTCCAGGTAGTCACTCAGTATGAATCCAAACTTCAGAAAATAAAAAGACATAACAGAAAGATATCAGCAACTCCAGTTCCCGACACTTTGCCTCTTAGCCAAAAACAGGCAGGAATGTATTGGACCTACATTCCACTGATTATCTACTTGCGGAAACAAACCCAACAGACACAACAAATGAGATAAGTATGTAGTTAGCATTTTGATGAACAAAGAACTGAACCGAAGAGCATTTACAGAAAAGTTAAGAATAATGCTCAGAAGGTCTTAATTATTATTGTGCATTTTCCATTAATATTTGCCTTAAAAAGTGATCCAGTTAAATCTTTGCTATTAGGATTGGGAAAAGGGTTTTGCAGGAGAATCCTTTTTCAAATCCTAATCTGCTCTTGCCAATCAGTGCAGAATAGGCAATGGAATCACACATCCTTCCAGAACTAGTTCAACTGCAACTTTCAATATAGCCAGTAATGAGGATTCTTGGGAGTTATAACTGAAGACCACCTGAAGGGCTCCATAATTCCTACTTCAGTATAGCTAGACTCTAAATGAACCCAAATCCATCTAAATATAAAGCACCATCCTCTATCCTGCCTATTCATAATGTTTTACGTCCCTTCTACAATGCCATATAATCCAGATTTTTTTATTGTGTCAAAAGTGACTTGAGAAACTGCAAGTTGCTTCTGATGTTAGAGAATTGACCGTCTGCAGAGACGTTGCCCAGGGGACGCCTCTCACCATACTTGTGGGAGGCTTCTCTCAAGTCCCCGCATGGAAAGCTGGAGCTGATAGACAGGAGCTCACCCCGCTCCCTGGATTTGAACCGCCGACCTTCAGGTAAGCCAGCATAAGGGTTTACCCCACTGCGTCTTCACGGCTTCTAAAATCCAGATTATCAAAGCAGAAAATTCACCTCTGCTTTGATCTGGATTATATGAGTATATATATATAGCAGTGTATAGGGGGGGCTGAGTGTTGTAAAAATGGCCATCTGTTCTCCTCAGCTGTTTTCCCTTATTTCCACATACTGAGGAGCCTGCTGTTACATAATTCCAATCTTATTTCCCCTTTTTACTGAAGCACATAGTATCTCTGAGATATTAACTATGGAAGTATCCTCAAACTCTCAAAGCATGGAGAAGGGAAGTCAACCAAGAACACACATGACTATTCCCCTGAAATAACAAAAAAAGTTCACAAGAGGGTACCTGGAGAAGGCGGCCAGAGTAAGAATGCCCAGCAATAGTTCAACGGCGTAGAAGAGAAGCAGGATTGCATTGAGGATGGCTTCCAGCCGCAGGGCATAGGTCTGCAGTAGCAGGTAATAGGCTGCCATCACTGCTGCAGGAAAGGTTAGTGCCAGACTGATGGCAAGTGGTACTTTCCGCTGACATAGGTTCCCTTTTGAGCCTACCATACACAAAATAAGATTGGTTAAGGGTTAGATTTGTTATAAACCTACAGTATTCAGGGGGTTGAAGAGGATGTAAAGTCAGGGTCAACCTAAAGACCTTTCCATGCCTGAGGAACAGTAACTAATAGCTCACATCAAGGTACACAGTCAAAGTATTTTGGTATGCAAGATCAACAAATAAAATTAAAATTCACAATCAGTTCTCCCCAGCACTGGCAGGAAAAATATAATTACATATCTGCATACTGCCCTTTCTTGATGGGCAGATAATAATAATAATGAGAAACGACTGGAAAAGCTGACATGATATAAGGATTTAAAGATCGAACTGCAAAGACTCTGGCACAAACCAGTAAAGGTAGTCCCAGAGGTGATCAGCACACTGGGTGCAGTGCCTAAAGACCTTGGCCTGCACTTAAACACAATCGGCGCTGACAAGATTACCATCTGCCAGCTGCAAAAGGCCACCTTACTGGGATCTGCACGCATTATTCACCGATACATCACACAGCTTTAGACACTTGGAAAGTTTCCAACATATGATCCAATACAACAGCCAGCAGTGTCTGCTGTGGACTCATCTTGTTGTGTTTAAAATAATAATAATAATAATAATAATAATAATAATAATAATAATAATAATCCGCCACTCCTTGAGGCTCAAGGTGGGGCACAACATGGCTAAAACAGAACAATAATACACAATACTATTAAAAAGATATGACACAAGGCCATATCAATAAAATGCAGGTTAAAATTCACAAGTTAAAATTGACTGAGGCCCCTTCTGCACAGCTGTATGAAATCCACACAGAACTGGCTTATTTGGCAGTGTGGACTCAGATAATCTGGTTCAAAGCGGATATTGTGGATTATCTGTATTGATATTCTGGGTTATATGGCTATGCTGTAGGACCTTGAGTAGGCCTGCAGGAAGAGATAGGTCTTCAGTGGTGTCTGAAGCTCATTTAGCTGATGGATTTTTTCCGCAGATCATTCTAGCCTTGTGGCGACCAATGAAAAGGTCTTTGGGGTGATGAATGCCAGTCAGGTTCTGGCCTGTTGGAGCGAACGCTTCAATATGGCCTAAAACAACTGCCCCACTCTGGTGAACGGTAGGACCGCTCTCCTATGCATTCTACCTGAAGCACACTTCCAGTCTGCTTTGATAATGTTATTAAGAACCACTCAAACTGCAGAACTGAATCCCAATTAAAATTCAAGAATGACACTTTGGATTTAACAACTTCACCTACAATAGTTCTAGTTAATCTAGTTACCCATAGTTTTTATGGCACTGAATTGTTGCCTATGTGTAAATGCCACTCTGAGTCCCCTTAGAGGTGAGAAGGATGGGATATAAATATGGTAAAGAAACAAATAGTCCTGCTTGACTGGAGGAATCTCAAATTACTATTCCACCTCAACTTGTGCTGCTGTGGTCCTTATGTACCTCTGAATCGAATGTAAAAGAGACTGTTTTGGGAAGATGAAATAGGAATTGCCCCTTTCAGCTTCACCTCAAGACCTCTTTTCCAGCACAGCAAAGTAGAAAGGACTAAAATGACAGTGTCTGTGGCCGTCACACATTCTTCTTAAAATATGCTGTCATGCAAACAGACTGCTGAATGTGTTCTTGTGACAAGATGAATGTGCAGCTTTTCAATGTTAGGATCCATTGTTTGAAACTCACCGAAAAATATCCTTGTGACTTCAATTCCAAGATAAAGGAAGAGCATAACCAGATCCAAAGCCAGATTGGCAGAAGGGTAGGGCAACAGGAGTCCTGTAGACATGCACAAATTGGTACATTAATTAAAACAAAACAAAAAGAGGGAGAGAAAAAAGAATAGCCAAATACTTCTCACAACACACTGGGTTAAAATTTTTTAGTCTTATCTAGAGTGCACCCATTGAATTAATTAGTTATCTCATCATCCAACAATGTATTAAATAAGGCTACTCTAATCGATACTAACCAACAGATACCAGCCACTGTGGTCACATTTACACTGTGGAATGAATGCAGTTTGACCCCAACTTTAACCTTTATGGCTCAATGCTATAGAATCCTGGTAAACACTGGCATTCTTTGGCAGAGAAGGCCAAAGTCCTTGCAGAACTATAAGTCCCATGATTCCATTCAGCCACTGCAGTTAAAGTGAGGTCAAACTGCATTAATTATACAGTGTAGATCTACCCAGTGTTTTTGAAAAAGTTGATTTCATACCTACGGTAGCAACTAGACTTAGAAAGTAGGAAATGTGACACTAGTGTGTCTGCAAAAACCTTGATCTCTCAAACAACTAGTAACTATAATGGGGAATGAACCAGACAATATAACATTCACTTATTCCAGTTTTTACTTTAAGGGAAATTCATAAAGGAGATTTGCCCCAACTGATACATTTTGCAGAAGGGAAAACAAGCCCTGCTCTTCCATGCTTCCTCCCCATACCTCAGATTGGTGGCTAAAACTCACCTTTATAGACAAACATGAAAATCTCCAGCAGGAAATACGTGGCATAATACCAGCCATTAAGGAACAGCAGAATCTCCAGAGGGGTAGAGGACAGTTGCCGATCTGCGGGTATAATCAGAACATGAATATATATGGAGCAGGCCTTTCTTTGTTCCACTCAAATTTTCTCTCAAAGAGGATCAGAACAATACATTACCATTTCAAACAATGAGACCCAAATGGCAAGAAATTAGTCTTGATGCAGCTATGGCGCTTGCAAAACTTGCACAATAAGATTATGGTTAGGTTATTTTATTTATTTCATATCAAAAGCATTGCATAAATAAGTGTAAAACATAAAATAGAGGGAACACAAGGAACTAAATGTTTTTTGACTAAAAACGAGCAACCGTGACAGCATTGTCTGTAGCTTTAAACAATTCTTCCTCTGTGCGTGAGGCAGGGCATTGTGGGCAAGCATACAGATATGGAGTTGTTTGTTCTACTCCACAGTTGCAAAAGGTGGATAATTCTTCTAGGTAGTGCCATTTAGCCAGGTTGTCTTTTGATCTGCCCACTCCACTTCTGAGTCTCTGTTCAGGGGCTTCCAAGTATGGCTGAACATTAGGAAGAAATTCCATCTGAACATTAGGAAGAACTTCCTGACTGTGAGAGCCATTCAGCAGTGGAACTCTCTGCCCCAAAGTGTGGTGGAGGCTCCTTCTTTGGAAGCTTTTAAACAGAGGCTAGATAGCCATCTGTTGGGAGTGCTTTGATTTTGATTTTCCTGCTTCTTGGCAGGGGGTTGGACTGGATGGCCCATGAGGTCTCTTCCAACTCTAGGATTCTATGACATGGAAAGAGTCACCTCGAAGACTGAGTAAAAACAGTCAGGCGTCCTCTGGGCAACTTTTCTTGTAAACGGCTAATCTTTCCAAACCCCAAAGCATTGCTTATAAACATGGCTAGGTTATAGCTGTTCAAGGTGAAACCAATACTCACTGCAGAGATTTTGCAAGGGGAAGGAGAAATTGAATCTGGACCATGTGTGCAGCTGCACAGTCAAATTAATGCAGATTGACACCACTTTAACTACCACTGCAAAATCCTATAGGATCCTGAGGCCCCAGCATTCTTTTGGCAAAAAAGGACACATCCCTTGTAAAACTACAACTCCCATAATTCCACATTGAGCTATAGCAGTTAAAGTGGTGTCAAACTGCATTAATTCCGCAGTGGAGATGCACCCCATGGCTGGCTAAGAGTTATAGGCAAGTGCCCAGAATGGAAGGACCCTCTCACATCACACAGTCAGTATCCGACTTCAGCTGCCATGGCAACATGCACTGGAATCCTATAACTCGAAGCTTAGGATGAGGCACTGTTAGCCAGAGAGATCACCTGGTACCCTTGAACAAATTATGTATTTCAATAGATTTTGATGGTTTTAGCTATTTCAATAGTTTATTTATTTATTTACTGCATTTCTATACCGCTTTTCTCACTCCTAGGGGGACGCAAAGTGGTGTACAGCATAATAATTGGCAAAAAATTCACATAAGAATAAAAACAATACATGACAAATCTTAAAACAATAACATATAACTGTAAATTAAAATCATTAAAATCGTCAGACATGATCGTTTGCCAGTTTGTGTAGCTTTCAATTACCAATCTTGTAAGCAGTGCAACGTTTAATCTAATTTTAGTGTAAGTGAGAGTCTCCATACTGCTGAGTCTGGATCTTCCATACATTAGGAGTCCTGACTGCAGAGAGGTTTCCCTTTCTCCTCCCCCAGTTTCCCTTCCCTTCTCTTCCTTTCTGCCTCCCCCACTTCCTTCCAGGGACACAGCTCGTCCTCACGTGAGACTGAGTGCATCTACACTGTAGAATGAATGCAGTTTGACCTCTCCAGTCCCCGCCACCACTTACTGCGAGGCGCCATCTTCCATCTCCATGGACACCAACTACGCAGAAAGCCTGCGGCCGGCTGCTACTTCTCCTCGCCCGGATGTCAATCTGTGCCCCACAGAGAAGGGCCTGACTTAGGGATGAAGACGTCACTTCCGCTATGGGATCGGAGCCGCTCTAGCCCTGGACTTCTCAGGCTCCAAACACAGGCCGGTCAGTGTGGCGCGAGTCTGCATTCGATGCCGGAAACAACGACGTGAACTCTAAAGAGGAAGCCGCTTCGTTCTCACAAGAGCCCGACAGGGGTCGCCTCCGTTTCCATAGTTACCCCTTGGCCCCGCCCCTCGCCCCCACCAATCAGGGGGCGGAAAAAGGCCTCCCATAGCAACTAAGCAGAACTAAGAACCAAGAAGTAAGTAGCCCTTCAGATGCATCTATATCAGGCTTAGGCAAACTTGGGCCTTCCAGGTGTTTTGGACTTCAACTCCCACAATTCCTAACAGCCTACCGGCTGTTAGGAATTGTGGGAGTTGAAGTCCAAAACACCTGGAAGGCCCAAGTTTGCCCAGACTTGATCTACACTGTAGACTTTATTAATTGACCCCACTTTAACTGCCATAGCTCAATGCTATGAAATCTTGGGCTTCGTAGTTTGAGGAAGCAGTGGCACTCTGACAGAGAAGGCTCAAGACCTTGTAAAACTACAGCTCCCACTATTCCTTTGCATTAAGCCATGGCAGTTAAAGTGGGATCAAACTATATTCATTCTATAGTGTGGATAAACCCCAAGATCCTGCTTGAAAACATCTTTACCAAAGGACTTCCCGCCCTTCTATTCCTTCATTCCTCCCTTTTCAGTATACAAAGCAACTTTTCACTGCTACAGCCTGTCTTGACTTCTATACCCCAGGATTTGAGTACGCACAGAATTTTGTGGTTGCTTTGTTTCAACAGCATGTTTCTTTCCCCTATTCCTGTCTTATCCCTGGACAATGGAAGTGCAGGCTGAGATTCTCTTATCAGAAATGTTTGGGACAAAGAATATTTGGGATTTTTATGGATTTCGAAATATCTACTTGCATATACACATGATGGCATGTCTTGGAGAGGGAGCCATGCTTAAACACCAAGTTTATTTTTGTTTCTTATACTATTAAAAGAATTTTATATACAATATTTGTATTAATTTTGTGCATGTACAATGAACATAAGAGAGCAGCCTCCCATGTGAACAATTTAGTATTTTGGATTATTTTGGGATTCCAGATAAGGGATGCTCAACCTGTAACTTTTTCTTTCTCGTGGTTCTTCTATAATGGAATATTACTAAATTAAACAACTTAGTTTTAAGACAAATACTAGACTAGACAAGCAGGGAAACATTCTTCATATCAATAATAATAATAAATAATAATAATAATAATATCAGGATAGTGAAAGAAAAGATTAATACAAAATAATCACATTATAGTTTCTGGAAAAAAGATTTATTTTCTCATAGTTAATAAAAACACAAGTACAAAAGACAAGTCTAATAAGTCCTCGAGAGTATGTTTGCCCAGATAAAAGCAATATTGCAAAGCTAGAGGATTGTTCTTTTATGCTTAGTTGCATTGCCAGTGGTACTAATGAAGGCAAGAGGCCTTTTTGACAAACGATGTGGAACACATGATGAGGGAATATTCTTCAAAGAGAAAACTGCTACTTGTTGAGTTCTTGCCAATCCCATTTGGCACTTCAGATTGTTCCTCAGTAAGGCTGCAGCCACATCCAGGGGGAAAAATACAGTCTGAAGATCTGGATGGAGGATGTAGAGTGCCTGGAGGTTCAGAAGCATGTAGCAGAAATAAGAGAATCCACAAAAGAGCAGCTTCATTGATAAGTAATCTGAAGTGCACTGAATTTAGGATGTGGATGATGTCATCTGATCATGTAAGTTTTAGAACCAAAACAATAGGAAACGGGTGACTGCAAATAGCTAAGAAGGGACAATGTCGTGAAAGATACTGATGAAGTCTCCTTTATATTGCAGCAGAGTGATTTCAGTTCAGGTAGGCCAGAAAACAGCTGTCAGCTGCGGACTTGAGCAAACTCCTTCCGAAGCCAGAGTGAGTCCCGGTAGAAACGAGGGTCTCCCAAATGCACAGCTGTCCTCTTATAAAAATAGTAATAAAGCACAGCCACTGCAACCAATAAGAAAAAGGTTACAGTCAGCAAGGTCTTCATCACTTTCTATATTATTAATTTGACTAGTTTTATGGAAACCTTTCCATTCTGGGGAAGGGGGAATCAGTCATGATCAGAGAAGGTAAAATAATAATAATAATAATAATAATAATAATAATAATAATAATTTATTTATATCCCACCCTATCTCCTCAAGGGGACTCGGGGCAGTTTACAACGAATGTCGGCAAACATTCAATGCTGTAAAAAGACTGAACAAAGACAAAATACCAACCCGCCCAGATCCCAAAAAACAAATCCACATGTACATCAAAAATAAGCACACATTATTAAATTAAACGATAGCATAGCAGATATACGGTATTATATACTACTAAACTAAGGTGCTAATGAACTCAGCAAGCAAAGCAATTTCAATACCTGCCTGTGGTGGACTGCTAACTTTGTAGGTAGAAGATCCTAGATTAAAACCTCAACAGGTCTCCAGACAGAGCTAGAAAAGAACTTCACCTCAAACCAGAAGCAATTCTGTGTGACAACTCTCCCTGAATCCACTTCATTACAGCTTCTATAGCTCTGTCTACCACTCATGATACAGAGGACAAAGTGATACATTCTAGCACTTACCCAGTCTTTGGAAAACAAAGAGGGTCTGTAGTCCATCAGTCCAAACAAAATAATTGGAACTTCTCCAGCGGAGATTCTGTAGGACATAATTTATAAAGTCTTAAAAAGCAATCCCTTAACAAGAAAACAAATTTAACACGAAAAATTGTTCCCCCTGCAGCATAAAGCTCATCAGCTTCCCATCCAGTCTTTTAAAAAATTACTCTTCTAGCAAGCTTCTCTAGACCAGAGACGCTGCTTCTACAGTTAGATACAGTAATTTCTACCTTTTTGAATATAGTAACTTAAAAACCTTTTAAAATTCAACAATCTAGTACAAATGAGGCATTTGTTTTACCATTATTTCAATTAGATCATCTTCCATTGGGTTGATAGAATCACAATTCAGTAATATCTGGAAGACCATAGATTCCTATTTTTCAACCACCCAAATCTCTGAAGTAGAAGGAAAGCCAATTGTTTTGTTTCCAAGGAAATCGAATATTAAAGATTCAAGCTATATACCTCTCAATGAGGGCAAGTTGCACTAAACTCTGTGGGTTTTCCTTGAGTGCACAGGGCTGTGCTTTTAGTATAGATTTTCACACTGGAATACTGTTGTATGCTTTCATTACTGCCGGGACACATTTGGGATTCAAGTTCATTTATTTTAAATACTGCTTCCTAGTTATTCTTGTCCAAATGAATATTTCAAAAACACTCACAAATGAGTCCTGAGTTCTTTAAAAGCTCAGATATGTTAAGAAACACTAGAGCTAAAATTGACAACTTCACTCCTCATATTTTCCCTACTTCATTTATTCAGAACACATTCACAGATAAAATGAAACCTATGAAAGGGCTCACATTAAAAGTTCATAACATTACGTAAGACTTCAAGCAATATTAACAACACTTTAAGGTTACATGAGGCACTTTCACATGCTCATTCTACCTGAGATCTCCTCAAACTTGTGTTTTGAACCACAGCAGCTCTCCTTCAAATCTACCCTAATGATTGAGCATCTAGACACCACATGGGATGAGTGCGAGTGCTAGGGAGCAGCTCAGGGAGCACAGAAAGGTTAATCGGATCAGCAGATTTATAAAGAATGCCCAGACCTATTCTAGCTCCTAACAACAGATCCCAGAAAATCCTCTTAAAGCCTCCTGCCTGCTCAAGCAAAGTCCAGGAAACTAGTCAGACTGAAGCATTACTCTGGAGAAATTAAATGAATCAAATATGTGTTAGTAAATTAACATGTGTAACTGATCTCTAATGAGTCACTTATCATATGACTATTAATTAGCTATCATATATGTATGTAATGTCTCTTCTAACAAGTCTCACACAGAAGGTTATTGTTTAAAATAACAGCACACAATGTAACAGAAAAGATACAACAGAAAAATACATTGAGAAGCAGAGAGGGAAATAAACCAGTCTAGCTCCCATAGGTTCTTGACGTGTGATACTCTAAGAAGGATGTATTTGTTGCCAATACAGTGATTACTTTGGGAATGAAATGCTTTTCTCCTAGTATACAAGGAAGCTATACCATGCATTTTTTGTAACTTGCAGCTGTTTCAGCAAAATACAGTGAGCCCTTAGTATCTGTTGGTTTAATTCAAAGACGGGGGATCTCTTAAATCGGTGGATCTCTTAAATCTGTGGATGTTTGGATCTCATTATATGCAGTAGCATAGTAAAATGGTGTATCTTATATAAAATGGCAAATTTGAGGTTTGCTTTCTGAATGGTTTTTTAAAAATTCAAGTCAGAAGTGGCAGACTTTGTGGATATGGAAGGCCAACTGCAATCAGATATTACATTAAAACGTCATAATCTCTGATACAATGCTATTTCATAGGAGCAAAACTTTCAAAATTATGTGTCAGTTTCAACAGCCTAAATGAGATGGGCTGTATCAATCAATTCCTTGCCAAAGCATCTGAACAGCAACAGATGTAAACAATCATACAGCAGGGATGGTCAGTCTTCAGAACTGAAGGATCTAATTTATTTAGATTTTGAATAAACTCCAAAGATCCACTAATCATGGTATTAGACAAAAGACACATGCAATTAAAGAATTCTGGGCCTAGGAATGTATTATGAATATTTATTTATTTATGGTATTTCTATGCCGCCTTTCTCAGCCCAAAGGCGACTCAAGGCGCCTTCGGGCTGAGAATATTAAAAATGAATATTAAAAATGAAGTCAGTCTCTTTAGCACAAGCCTTTTAAATTCTGTATGGGGTAGTATTTTTGCTGTAATAGTTCAGCATTCTAAAGTCAGGAAGCATTGCCAATCTACTACAGATCACTTGGAGATCTATTAGGGTTCTGATCTACCTTCTGTCTAATGTATTACTGAATCCCAACTTCTGTTGGCATTGAAAAGTATGTCACAAATATAATCAACTGTAGAAAAATGAGAAATGCAGGTTTTCATCTACTACAATAATGCGGCTCCCCAAATGCTGCTGTTCGGTTCAGGCCCCGCCTATCTTCGCGATCGCATCTCCCCCTATGAACTGGCGCAAACTTTAAGATCTTCCAGGGAGGCCTTCCTTTCGCTCCCACCACTGTCACAAGCATGGTTGGTGGGGACAAGAGAGCCTTCTCGGTGGTGGCCCCCCCCCCGCCTCTGGAATGCCTTTCCTGGAGAAAGAAGATAGCCCCCATCCCTCCCCTCCTTTTGTAAGAGCCTGAAGACCTGGTGGTTTAAACAAACCTTTGAGAACGACTAGTTCTAGCTCTGCCCCAGATACAGTTGAAATTGTCCATATCTTTTTCTACCAATTACCCAGGTCACTTTCTTCTATTAGGCCCTGGAAATGTACAGCCATAGACTTTACCTAATTTCCTGGGCCCTCTAAAATTGCACTAGCCCAGCCCAGCCTTTTAAACTGCCTTGAACAGGCAGGATTATTTTAAATATGTGTGCTATTGTGGTTTTTAATGCTTATATTGTCTTGCTAATTTTATGTTTATGCTGTTTTCTTTGTATGTATTGATTATGTTACTTGGAAACCACTCTGAGTCCCCTTGAGGAGATAGAGTGGTATATAAATAAAATTTTGTTTGTTGTTGTTACTGCTGTACTGCAATTCCCATGAGTCTTAGCCAACACAGTTTATGATTAGGAGTCCTGGGAGATGCTGTCCAACAACAATAGGTCCCAAAATGCCTACCCCAAGTTTAAAAGCTCAGAAATAAATTGTACTTCTTTATCACTGTTTGAACACAACTACTACAGAATTTCTTGCTACTTATAGATATCATCAAAGTTTCTATAGACCAATAGACCCAAATGCTTCCACCATTCTCTCTTTTAATTAGTTCAAATGATGTTTCTGTTGAATTCTAAAAACCCAAGTAATGTGTTATACAATATATATGAGACAGCAAAACCACAATCCAAATAAGACAAATTTTATATCTAACTGCAGGGTGCCACAAATATAGTTAGTGCCTATTCTGGAAGATTTCATTGATCCAAACTGGCCCATAATGCTGGACCATAATCCAATGGAATAAAGGAATATAAACAATGCTTCAATCAAAAGTTTGATCAACAAGTGAAACTGTTGTAGTTCTCCAATAATAATGAGTAGTATCAAACATCTAGAATACTACTGGACTTTACTGCAATTATAATAAAACAAATGTTGAGCCAATAATGTTCTTTGAAATAGTCATAACCAAAACTCTCTATTTCTGTCTATAATTAGAGTTGCAGTAAAGTAATTAGGGTACAATCCATATCAGAAGAGTTGCAGCCTATATATCAGGGGTCCTCAAACTTTTTAAACAGAGGGCCAGGCCACAGTCCCTCAAACTGTTGGAAGGCCGGATTATAATTTGGAAAAAAAAAAAAGAAAATTCCTATGCACCCTGCACATATCTTATTTGTAGTGCAAAAACCACTTTAAAACAATACAATAATTAAAATGAAGAACAATTTTAACAAATATAAACTTATTACTATTTCAATGTGAAGTGTGGGCCTACTTTTGGCTGATAAGATAGAGTTGTTGTTGTTGTTGTTGTGTGCTTTCAAGTCGTTTCAGTCTTAGGTTGACCCTGAGCAAGGGCGGGGTAAATGGCCTTGGAGGGCCATATCTGGCCCCCCGGGCATTAGTTTGAGGACCCCTGCTCTATATCTTCCAAACTACAGAAACTGCAAATCAAAAACTAACCATCTCATCTTAAAGATGACACACGATCACAGATACACACAAGATCATCTCTGTAAAAACCATAATATATAGACTCTGGTAGACACATTAGTCCCTAGTGTATTGCACACTATAATGTAAATCCAAATCGACAACTCTAACAGCTCATTTAAATGACAACATATGCAAGGCCATTCACTTTGCATAGATCTCAGATACATATAACTAAGAAAGTAAAATTAGGTCAGCTTATATCATTGAGACAGGCCATACTGGGAACTAGGTCACATTATGAACTATGCCAACAAGGAACAAATAGAAGTCCGCTTATTTGAAAGTAAAAAAAAGATTGAAAAAAAGTAGTCATCAGTGCATTTGGACCAATTCTATCACTGAAGATTTAAAGGGCAACTATAACAAACTGGAACTGTCAAAAGCAGAACAAAGCAGAAACGTGTCAAACTTTGGAAGTGGAAGATTAAAAAGCAAAATAAAAACTGAATGGTCTCCTGAGATGTTCTAATCATGGCAATAGGAAATTCTATCTTGACACTATCAAAATTATAAAATGTTTGAAGCTCATTTAGCACCCAAGATCTATGCAGAACGAAGAACTATCAAGCTATGAGGATACACAGTAATACAATCCATGGTGGTAGCTAGGTTTTGAGACAACTTATAATACTGATTCATTTCTGTTAAGCTTGTTTCAGAGATACAAATTTTTTATGCCAAGAGGGCACTTTGTTTCATTCCTGGGGTCCAATTTCTTGAATATCACCATCCTGGAGACTCTCACAAATAAGACAGCTGCACAGAGAATTTGCAGTTGTAAGGTATAGAAAGGACAAAAGAATGACATACTCAGTGATCTAGCAGTACCTGCTGATGCGCAGAGGGAATAATAACTGGGTTGATCTCGATTTTTAAAATCTCTATAAATGGAACTCTCCATCCCTCCCAAAAGGAAGCCTCTGTTCTAGAAATTCTGTACACCTGTACTAGAAACTGCTTATGTTGTTTTTTAATTGTGCATGTGCACCTCCAAGTTACTTGTTGACTTACAACAATCACAAAAAATGTAAAGGGTCTTCTTAAGGCAAAGAATACTCAAAGATGGTTTTGTCAGGCCTTCCTCTATAGTACAGCCGACAGTACTTAGTATTTGTTAGTAGCCTCCCATCCAAGCACTAACCAGAATTGCTTAGCTTTCAAGATCAGACAGGGGCTGGAGCCTTTAGGGTATTTAGGTAGGAGTGTGGAAAAAAGTTGAGAAATCTGAAGAAAATATCGGCAAGGGATTTATTGCATTTCAGAGATAGTGCCTGCATGGCTACCTTTTTCTCCAGAGTTTCCAATGTATTGACTTTGTTACTTTTCACCAAATACGTTTTCAATGAGATTTATATTTTGCATAATTGTCTTTAGCAGCCTTGGGCAAAAAGTCCTCTATCCACCTGCACTTTTGCTCACAATACCTTTTTGTTGAGTACACCAAAATGAAACTGCATTTGATCTATATTAACTAAAAGCTACATAGTACTGAATTCACTCTGAGACATGGGGAAGGAAAACATATAAAAATGTTTTATTTGCTTCCTTAATTATTCTATGCTCCACATGGGCTTTTATAATATGTATTGTCGAAGGCAATACATTTATAATATGCATTACAAACAATCCTCCGTATGATTCAAATAAAGAATGACCTACCATGATCCAGATGTGGAAGGATACACTCAAAGCAAGGTATGTTCCTGATATAAAGATTGTTCCCTTAAATTTGTGGAACAGAAGATTAACCAGGCCAGCCTGGAAGACGAAGGTATTGAAGAACATGAGGAAGATGATGATAATATTGAAGAGGATAGCAATATCCTGAATGCTGTAAAACAGACAGTTCAATAAGACAGATTGATGGATGCCTTACATACTGTAGAAAGCAGTCACCTGCTACTAGAAAAACATAAACCTGTGAGGTATATTAATCTAACTATTCATTTCCTCTGCCCATTATCTATTATAGAAGGAAAAAGCTCCAAATCTGTTGACAGAAGAATGTCATGGAATGACACCTACTTACAATTCACTCATTTTCCTTCCTGCCACTCACTGGTAGTCATAGTTTAGAAAACACACACATATACACTGAGCGAGCAGTCATAGGAAAAATACAAAACATCAGTGGTTTATTTTGCAATAGTTTTGTCAACACACTATTCAGCTATTAACCACTCAGATTTCAGAAAGCACACGTTCTGTACCAATCTCTATTCCAAGTCATTCATTCGAAACACTACAGTAGTGCAGTGAGCCCTTAGTATCTGCTGGGGATTTGTACCCAAGACCCTGGCATGGATACTAAAATCTAAGGATGTCCAAGTCCCACTATAATGGTGTAGAAAAATAATCTCATATAAAACAGTAAATTCAAAGTTTTTGTAATGATATTTAAAAATATTTTCAAATTGTGGATGATTGAGTCTGCAGATACAGAATCCATGGATATGGAGAGCCAGCTGTATATGCGTCTGTCTGTCTAAGGATTTTACAAATACAGAATAGTAAGTGTTCCTTTTTGTTGCATTAACCTTTTAGTAAGTGAGGCAAATACCTTCTAAAAGTAGAAATTGATGCACATGCACTGCCGTGCCATACTCACATGAAGAGCACAAGCTGGATGACTGGGGCGATGCGCAGTAGTTCGGAGAAAGAGTTGACAAAGAGGTCATAGGATAGCAGTAAGAACTGCAAGGAGAGCACCAGGCTGTAGTTGCTGGTTTGGAGCATCTTCCTGGCCAAGAGTTGTGGGATCTCAATGCCTGCATCCCAGACAAGAGCGCCAGCTCATTCTCATAACACACTGGGGTACAAAGCTTTTCCACCAACCCAGTCACTCATGAGTGCTTTAGACAGAGATCTCAAATCTGCAGAAATACAAGGGGAGGAGGAGAGAGTGATAGAAGCAATATTGTAATAAGAAGATTCATAGACTAAGAAAAGGCATGGGCAAACTTTGGGGTTTGGACTTCAACCCCAACTATTTCTGACCTCGGGCCCTTTCCTTTTCCCCCTCAACTGCTTAAGCAGCTGAGGGAGAAAAGAAAGGGGCCTGAGGCCAGGAATTGTGAGAGTTGAAGTCCAAAACGCCTGGTTGGGGGGGGGGGGAGCCACAGTTGCCCACACCTGACTTAGAAGACACCCCAAGGGCAATCCAGGCCAACTCCATTCTGTCTTGCAGGAACACACAATCAAAGCTCTCCTGGCAGATGACCTCAAAAACCTACAGAGAAAGATACTCCACCACACTCTGAGGTGGCCTATTCCACTGCTGAACAGCTTTTGCGATCATGAAATTTTTCTGAATGTTTAGGTGAAATCTCTTTTCTTGCCATTTGAATCCATTGCTCCATGTCCTAGTCTGCAGGGCCAGAGAAAACAAGCCTGCTCCCAATTCTTCCTCCCACCTCGGTAGTCCTGTCTTCCGCAAACCCAAAATCAGTGGTTTCCAACTTTTTTTTAGCAGGGACCACTATGACCAAGGACCACTCTCCAACATTACTACTAAAAAGGATTTTTGTTTTGTCGTGTCAGGAGCGACTTGAGAACCTGCAAGTTACAAATCAGTTTTTGTTCAACTTTAGATTCAGTTTGGTTATTTGAGGTGCTGATTCAGAACATTGCATTGGACAGTCCACATCAGCTCTAGTTTCTGATACAGAACATATGCCATCCAGTAGTCACATTCTGCTTACCCACAGAAAACCATATTTAATAGCCGCAACACGATAGGAGGGTTTCGTGAGACCAGTCGCTCTCATTGCAACAGTGTAGTAACAGTGAGGCCTTATTTTAGTTCTTGCAGACCACTGGTGGTCTACAGGCCACAGGTTGGGAACCACGGCTCTAAGTGCAAAATACGACAGATCTGGTTCCCTGATCCCTATGGATACCAAAATCCATGGACATTCATCCCATTATACACCGTGGCAAAATGTAATCTCTTACATAAAATGGCATGATCAAGGTTTATCCGCCAGGCCTACCCAATCAATATGAAACCATGATTTTGTAATTTACATTTTATTAGCATTAGTATTTTAATCTTTGTTCTATGGTTTTGTGTGTGTGTGTGGTCCTTTGTTTTGTGTTTTTAACTGCTGCAGCCTGTGAGGAGAAGTAGGTAACAAATATTTTTAAAAATATTTATTTATTTCCTGCATTTTTATTCTGCCTTTCTCAGCCTGAAGGCGACTTATGTGTGGAAGATTTTCAAGTTGTGGATAGTCAAGTCTGTGAATGAAAAATCAGTCAACACAGAAGAGGACTGACTGTACTCCATAAATCCTGGAGGAAAAAAGGAAAATGGTAATGGGTTGCTGTGAGTTTTCTGGGCAAAGAAACAAAACCGTGTTTCCACAATCTTGTTCCCACTATTACTATTTTCAATGTGTTGTCGAAGGCATTCATGGCCGGAATCCATGAGTTGCTGTGAGTTTTCCGGGCTGTATGGCCATGTTCCAGAAGCATTCTCTCCTGACGTTTCACCCACCAGGTCAGGAGAGAATGCTTCTGGAACATGGCCATACAGCCCAGAAAACTTTGCCTTCGACAACACACTGAAAATAGTAATAGTGGGAACAAGATTGTGGGAACACGGTTTTGTTTCTTTGTAAGTAAACAATCCAAATCGTAGAATCACAGAATGGGGAGAGACCCCCATGGGCCTTCCAGTCCAAGCCCATTCTGCTAGGCAGGAATACACAATCGAAGCACCCCCGACAGATGTCCACCCAGCTTCAAAACCCTATGAGAATGAGACTCTGCCTCATTCCGAGGCATCACCTCTGTTAAATAGCTCTTCCAGTCAGGAAGTTCTTCCTCATGTTTAGGTGGGACCCTTCTTCCTGCCATTTGAATCCATGGCTTCCTTGTGTCCTGGTCTCCAGAGCAGCAGAAAAGAAGCTCGCCCCTCCTCCCTGTGATATCCTTTCAGACTTAAACGAGCAACGGCTGCTTTGTGCTGCACTTACCGCGGCCTGTGCGTGACATCCTGGATAAAAATCGCTGTCCAAATCCGCCGCCAGCGGGCTCAGCGGGAGGAAGAATGGCGGCGGCTGAGCGGTCATGGAATCCCCGGGAAGAGTCCGTACGAGGCCCAGACCTGCCAAGGCCCCGCCTGTCGTAGTATAGACCGGCGCTTCGAGCCTGCCTCAGCCGGGCGCAGCTTCGACCTCACGCTCCCCCTCCTCACTTCAGGAGCTGCAGGCGAGCAAGAAGCCTCGCGCCGCCCACACTCGCCTCGCGCCGCCGACGGTCTCCATGGAGACGACGCAGCCAAGGGGGCGGGGCGAAGGGCAGACGCCGTGGGAGGGAGTGGGACCGGAAGCAGAGCGGCGCGAGACCCCGCATAGCCTGCACAGGCGGTTTCCGGTTTTTTTTTTCTTTTAGTGGGAGCTTGCCCAAGGAGGCAGTTGGAAGCAGACAATAGAAACACCGTCCCGTATTGCGTTGCCAAGAGTGCAGCCACAGAATTGTTGTGAGTTTTCTGGGTTGTATGGCCATGTTCCAGAAGCATTCTCTCCTGACGTTTCGCCCACATCAATGGCAGGTATCCTCAGAGGTTGAGGGATCTGTTGGAAACTAGGCAAGGGAGGTTTATATATCTGTGGAATGTCCAGGGTGTATCTGTTTGAGGCAAGTGTGAATGTTGCAATTGGCCACCTTGATTCGCATTGAATGACTTTGCAGCTTCAAAGCCTGGCTCGTTGCTGCCTGGGGGAATCCTTTGTTGGGAGGTATAAGCTGGCCCTGATTGATTCTTGTCTGGAATGTCTGTTTTTTGAGTGTTGCTCTTTGTTTACTGTCCTGATTTTAGAGTTTTTTTTAAAAAAAATACTGGTAGCCTTGAAGTTGCAAGGCCATTCAATGCTAATCAAGGTGGCCAATTGCAACATTCAAACTTGCCATGAGCAAGCAGTAGTTCTTTAAACAATCATACTTGCCTCAAGCAGACAAGAGTTCTTTCTCCCACCCTGGACTTTCCACAGATAGATAAACCCAATTTTCCTAGTTTCCAACAGACTTCACAACCTCTGAGGATGACTGCCATAGATGTGGGCGAAATGTCAGGAGAGAATGCTTCTGGAACATAGCCATGCAGCCTGGAAAACTCACAGCAAACCAGTGATTCCGGCAACGCAATGCATAGACAGTTCGGCACCACTTTAATTGCCACGACTCATTGCTATGTAATAATGGATGGGTTCTGTAGTTTGCTGAGGCGCCAGCACTTGTTTGGCAGAGCAGTTTAAAGACCTCATAAAACTACAACTTTATATTTTTATTTACGACATTTATATGCTGCCCCTCTCTTCCCGAAGGGTACTCAGAGCAGCTAATAATATAATACAATATATTATATTATTAGCACAGTACAATAGCAGTATTAAATATTACTATATTTAACTATACCATTAAACCACTGAGCTGCTAAGCTTGTTGACCGAAAGGTCTCAGGTTCGAATCCGGGGAGCGGCGTGAGCTTCTGCTGTCAGCCACAGCTTCTGCCAACCTAGCACTTCAAAAACATGCAAATGTGAGTAGATCAATAGGTACCACTCCGGCGGGAAGGTAACAGGGCTCCATGCAGTCATGCCAGCCACATGGTCCTGGAGGTGTCTACGAGAGACAGCCTTCTCTGTGATGGCCCCTCGACTATGGAACTCTCTGGGGAGCAAGATTAGATCTGCCCCCTCCCTCTTGTCCTTCAGGAGGCTAGTGAAATCCTGGTTATGGAACAAGGCATACCCAGAATAATGGCTGAGGCTGGTTACAGACCAAAGTGAGTGGCCACATATGCGGACTGAGCTGAACATGATTTTACCTTGGCGATTTGGTATATATGTGTTTTAATCTTGTATTGTTGTATGATGTTTTAACTTGTATTAGTAGCATTGAATCCTTGCTGTAAGCCGATCTGAGCATTTTTATATATAGAGAAGATTATATTATTAGCATAGCATAGGAGACAAGGTGGAACTGTCCTCTGCCCCCTTCTCTCTTCACTCTGTCCCAGAACAGCAGTAGGTGCTGGGTGGAGGGAACAACACTCCCCAGCGCCGCCGCCTCCTCCTCCTCCGGGGTGGGCGGGGCCAAATGCCGAAGCGGGGTCTTAAGAAGTGGGCGTGATGAGCGGTGAAGAGTCTGTCGAGCTGCGAAACTACGCTTCCCGGCATCCCCCGCGGCGCAGGCAGAAGGCAGAAGGTGGGCGACGCGGCGTGGCTTGGCTTGGCGTGCTCCAGCGGGCTTGGGAATGACAGTGGGTTTGACCCAGGCCTGGACAAACTTGGGCTTAAGTGGCTGAGGGGGGAAACGAAAGGGCCTGAGGCTGTGAGGAATGGTGGGAGTTGAAGTCCAAAACACCTGCAGGGAGGGCCCAAGTTTGTCCAGACCTAGTTTAATCCCCTGTACAAGCCACATTGCGAATGCTTTCATGCTTAATGTTTCCAGCAAAGGATTCTAAAACATTGCTGGAAATATCTAACTTCTTCACAAGGTCGCTGCCTTTCATGTGCATTTGAATGATTTGCTGACAAGGAAGATTCTTCTCTGTAGCTGTTTCCTGGTTTAGTGCTGTAGCAGCTAAGGGTGTGGAATTAATGCAGTTGGATACCCCTTTAACCTCCTTAGCTCTGTGCTATGGAACCAAGTGAGTGGTTGCTTTATATATTATCTGCCAAAGAGTGCTGTGTTCTCACCAGACTCCCAGCAGAGTATTGTGCTATGGCAATTAAAGTGGTATTATTTCTTACAATGTGGATGCGCCCTGGGTGGCTCAGAGGTCTTAATCCAATCGGTAAACAATGCATTCATTTCCTGATAGAGAATTGCATTGCTTGGAATGATTAAGGGTCTGGAGAACAAACCCTATGAGGAGCGACTTAAAGAGCTGGGCATGATAGCCTGAAGAAGAGAAAGCTGAAAGGAGACATGATAGCCATGTATAAATATGTGAGAGGAAGTCATAGGGAGGAGGGAGCAAGCTTGTTTTCTGCCACCCTGGAGACAAGGACACGGAACAATGGCTTCAAATGACAAGAAAGGAGATTCTATCTGAACATTAGGAAGAACTTCCTGACTGTGAGAGCTGTTCAGCAGTGGAACTCTCTGCCCTGGAATGTGGTGGAGGCTCCCCCTTTGGAGACTTTTAAACAGAGGCTGGATGGCCATCTGTCAGGGGTGCTTTGAATACAATTTTCCTGCTTCTTGGCAGGGGGTTGGACTGGATGACCCATGAAGTCTCTTCCAACTCTATGATTCTAATGTTGGGGAGGAGGATACTCTAAAAAGTAGCCACGGGGTTCACTTTCAAAAACAATATTATGTGTTAGTATATCTTTTATGGAGCCCAGTAAATTTTTACACAAAGTAGTGCAAAGATGCTGAGAGTTCTTCCATGAAGCATGTTGGTATAAAATACTGGAGAGAAGGGAAGAGATAAGAAGTCTTTCTAGATTGACCGTTAATATATCTCTGGGTGCATCCATTTGTCCTGGCACTAAGTTATAGACTCATGGGATTTGTAGTTTGGTGAGTTGGCAGAGAAGGCTAAAGTCCGTGTAAAACTACCACACCCATGATTCCTTAGCATTGAACCATGGTAGCTAACGTAATGGCAAAATGCATAAATCCTACAGATGCATAATCTATATCTGAAGCTGCCAGACCTGAAGACCTGGATGTTCAAACAAGTGTTTGAGAATGCCTAGTCTCTAGTTTTATCTACGCAATTGTTATGCAGCCCTGTAATTTTTCCCATTCCCTCTTCCCATGGCTACAGCTTTGCACTTATCCCATTCCCAGTTCGATTGTTTACTGCCTGGCCATGTTTATAGTAGCTTACCGCCATTGGTTGATGAACGCTGTTTTTAATTGTTAGTTGATTTTTTACATGTCCTTATGTTGTATTTAATTGTATTTTTAAATTGTTTTCATTTTATGTACTGTTCTTAGGCACCTTGTGCCATGTGTAAGCCGCCACAAGTCCCTCCGGGGAGATGGTGGCAGGATACAAAAATAAAGTTATTATTGTTATTTTTAAAAACCAGAAAAAAATGTTTAAAATGCCAGTTTTCTGCTGAGATGAACAGTTTATGGAAGCTTTCATTCCCACCAAACAGAGATATCGTCTGTGATTTACAGTGTTGTGTGTTGTATGTGAAGATAGATGCCACAATAAACCATTTTAAAGAAAGTGTTGAATGCCACAGGGGTTAACTCCTTACGAGATTGGGATCAGTTCCTGGTTCCTTATCCAATAAAAATAATGAGCTGCCTAATTGAGAAACAGCAGTCATGTACCTCTGCCTCCTGGAGACTCCTTGCTTCAAGATTTCTTCGCTTGATAGTCTCCAGTGCCTTTGTTTTTGCAGATAACCATCCTTTCTTGCCACTGCGCAGAGCGTCAGAGGAGTCCAGTGTTCAATGGCCATCCAGGTCATGTGCCATAGATTAAAGCTATTAATGGAAGCAGTGACCCAGCAGTCTTGAAATTATTACATCTACACTGCTCAGGCATTAATCAATGAGCTCCTGTGCAAAGCAGTTACATGAGCAGAAGAATCAAAATGCTAAAATATATTCTGCCACAATAATGCATTAGAACACTGACCAACATTTTCAGAGTTATTAATACTGTAATTGACTTAATCTTAGGCCTGATGTTTTACAAGGCTGAGGATAGCCCTGACTTCTCCGTTCCTTGTTTGAACTTTAGCCCAGTGGTTCTCAACCTGTGGGTCCCCAGGTGTTTTGGCCTACAACTCCCAGAAATCCCAGCCAGTTTACCAGCTGTTAGGATTTCTGGGAGTTGGAGGCCAAAACATCTGGGGACCCACAGGTTGAGAACCACTGCTTTAGCCTAAAAGCATCTCTGAAAGCATCTCTAACCCCTGGGAGCCCCCAGTGGCACACTGGGTTAAATACATGTGCCGGCAGGACTGCTGGCTGAAAGGTCAGCGGTTTGAATCCAAGGAGCAGGGTGAGCTCCCATCTGTCAGCTCCAGCTTCCCATGCGGGGACATGAGAGAAGCTTTCCACAGGATGGTAACATGTCTGGGCGTCCCCTGGGGAACGTCCTCGCAGACTGCTCATTCTCTCACACCAGAAGCGACTTGCAGATTCTCAAATCACTCCTGACACTGAAAAAATATCTGGAACCTGCATATCCTCCAAAAAATTCTTTTTGAGAGGCTGAGATAGTGATACCTTTGCTTTCTGAGGATTCAGTGTACACATGCTATGTTTCAGGTACAGCATTATTTGAAATATTGTGTTTGAAATTACTTTCAGGCCAGGTATATAAGGGACGGTGTATACGTAAATAAAACATAATCCCATTTCATGTTTATACTCAGGTTCCATCTCCAAGATTTCATTATGAATATGATAGTATTAAAGAATAGAAAAACGGGACATATTGGTACTAGGCATTTTGGATAGGTGATACATAATCTATACCAGCAAACCAGGCTAACTTATGTAGAAAATAATAAGAATTGCGCTATCCACCCTAAAATCAAATTTTGGCTACATCAAATCATAGCATGTGTCCCCTATTAGATGGCAATGAATGCTGTCCAACACAAAGTTTTCTATGTGGACAAAATGTGGGCATGCTCAAATGACTCAGCAGAACACATCAACTTGAATTAGATATACAGCAGTTACAAAATCCAGCTGTCAATGCAGGAAAGCAAATTTAAGTCCCAGCTCTTTATTTGTGCAAATCTTAAAAACTAAGCTCATTCATTAAACTATGTACAAACATTATGCACATCAGGTTCTTGTGGGTTTTTTCGGGCTATAGAGCCATGTTCTAGAGGCATTTCTCCTGACGTTTCGCCTGCATCTATGGCGAAACGTCAGGAGAAATGCCTCTAGAACATGGCTCTATAGCCCGAAAAAACCCACAAGAACCTAGTGATTCCAGCCATGAAAGCCTTCGACAATACATTATGCACATCCTTCTATTATATCAGATGGCATTTCTATATGCACCAGTGCATGTCAAGCAGAATAGCCTGGGGGATAATCCCAAACATGAGCATAGAAAAATAAAGATATTTTCAGTATACACCTATAATAAACTAGGGTCAGCTCAAGTCAAACACCCAGATGTTCAAACAAAGCAAGGACACAAGGTTGCAGTTTATGGGATGCAGAGTCTCCAACGAATGAGCTTAGTTTCTTAGTTTCCAAGATCTGGGACCTAAATTTGCTTTCCTTCATTGACAACTGGATTTTGTAACTACTGTTTTTATTATAAACTTGTATAACTAATTCAAGCTGCTGATGTGTTCTGATGAGTCATTTGAGCATGTCTACTGAAACATTCCGGGGACAGGGATGAGTAGTGAGAAAAACACTGAGCATGTGACAACATTGTAGATAACGGAGTGTGTTTCAAAGAGTAGATTAGCGTTTATGTGTAAAAATGGAAAAATATGCTGGGGCAGCTGTGTTGGCAATGTAGCAAAATCCCAAATCTACAATATGGTGGTGCTCTTATTGGTCAACCAAAATTAAGAAAATACATCACACAAGCTTTCAAAACTTCACTGACTTTGTCACCAAGCAAAAAATATTAAAAATTGTGCAAGAGAAGGAAACTGACTATGTTAGAGCTGCGGGTCTTTTAGATTTTTTTTTGTCAGTTAAGGTGGTCTAGAGCAGGGCTTCTTTAACTCCCCCCCCCCAAATATGTGGCCCCTTTTTCCTGATAACCTTTTTTGTGATCCCAGGTTATCTAGGTATATAAATTAGTTTTTAAAAATCAAACATTTACCAATAATAAACCAGCATTTTCAAGGCTTGCTAAACAGCCTGATTTATCTTTTTGTGAAGTATAGCTGAAGCAATTTCTGTAGAGTCCACTGTAAATACTGCACGTTGTTCATAACATTTGTGTAAATGACTTGGGGTGTTCAGAAGCCAATTTTTGTGACCCTTACATTGAGCACTTCAGGTTGGGGCCCACAGTTTGAGAAGCAGTGGTCTAAAGCAGTGGTTCCCAAACTTAGGCCCTCCAGATTGTGGAACTTCAACTCCCAGGAGCCACAGCCAGTTTGGTCAACTGTCAGGAATTCTGGGAGCTGAAGTCCAAAACACCTGAAGGTCCAAAGGTTGAAATGGTTATCAATCACCTTCTTAGCCATGTGGGGACTACGGTCAAAGGGCAATAAAGAACAGTAATAACATTTCAATTCTATTTGTGACAAAAATAACTTTCCTTGGGATCCAGTCAAAGATAACTTTTCTTAGGGTGAATCTACATTGTAGAATTAATACAGCTTGACACCACTTGAACTGCCATGGCTCAATGCTGTGGAATCCTGGGAGTTGTAGTTCAGTGAGGGAACAGCACTCTGTGGCAGAGAAGGCTCAAGGTCTTGTGAAAGTACAATTCCTATGTCCACAGCATTGAGTCATGACGGTGGTGACTAACTATATTAATTCTACAGTGTAGATGCACCCTTAGACAGAGATTTCATAAGAAGATTTTGCAAGAAGTGCCTGCACTGTTACATCTGGAGAAACATTTAGGTTCTGTATAGATAAAACTTCCCAATTGTAGTCCAAATGAAAGGATTTTAGTTTTGTTGGAGGTAACAACTGTTGTAAGTACAACAGTGCTTAGCAATTACGAGCTAAGAATGCATCTAAGCAGTAGTGAGAAGATTAGATAGTTTTGAGTGACCCAAACAGTCTTCTCTTTGTCTATGTATTCTGACTCCTCTGTGATATGAACCGATACTCTTTGAGATGTTTTCCTAGCTCTTCTGTCCCTGCCGATTCTCTCTCTGCTCTTCCCTAAAATGATGCTAGATCATCACACTGAGTGAGTGTTCTGTCTTAGAATAGTGTTCCTATAATAAAGCCCTTAGTTTGTCTCTTTTTCATTATCAAGATCTGTCTACACAGTCTCTATCAGAAACTTCAAAAAGTGAAGTCCACTAGTTCCCACTTGTTAAGTTTCCTTTGTTGTGGCAAAATTTGGTATTTTCACATCCAGGAAACACATTCAGGGGCGGGCGGGCAGCAAAATACAACATAATCCAGAATCCTCAAAACTGTTACCTTCATAGGTGAAGCCAGTTTTGACGTGGCAGAGATGGGAAGCTGACTCTGCCAGCACTGAGATCCCTCCAGACTGCAGAAGGATAATCCGAGACCAAATGTGGGCCTGTGACCCCAAAATCATAACTTTTCTTTTGATGAAGAAGCAGTGAAGTTTTGAAAACTTTAATGGTGCATTTTGTGCTTTTTGGTTGACCAATAAATGTATGGCATTTTGTGCATTTTGTTGTTTTATGCCTGGAACTGATAATTCAGTCATGCTGTTAATTATTTTGAATGGAGATGTGCTATGGCTTTTTAAGGTTCCTTGTATTTTTTGTAATTATATTGTTCTGAAAAAACAAGTTGGTATGGTGCACTAAATTAAGTAGCAGTTGAGCTCAAGGGCAATTAAGGATTAGTTCAGTAGCTTCAGGTCAACAATATATCTACAGTCAATTTTAGGGGTCCCTTTTCATCTCTGCCAGGCTCTTACATTCAGGAATGAAAAGAGCTTGTGGCATCTTTACATGAGCTACATATGAGATCATATAAAGAGCACATTAATATTGTGAATTCCCGTGATAGCAAAAACCTAGTGTGTGTGTGAATGTGGAAGGCTACCAAGATTGTACAGTATGCTTAACTAATCCTTATAAATGGTGTGCATTTTGGAATAATTCCTCTTTTGAATCATAGCTTTCATAACTACTCAGCCTCTTGATCACCAATAGTACTATTTTCAAGCTATGTCTATGGCTAGCCTCATTGACATTTGGCTTTGCCATTCAGTTCTGTCTTTTCCATCTTCTGAAGTTGTCCTTGGCAAATTTGTCTTATGTTATTTGCAATCCCTCTTATTCTAGAAAAGCTGATCAGACAGCACCAGAAATTGGACTTCGTATAACTTTCTTATAATATAGGACACATCTGATAATAAGATGTCACTCTGGCTAACATTTTAATCTCTCTCAGGTGGTGACAGTGTAGAATTTTTTTCCCAACTGGTAAGAATAGATAACTTTGTTAAAATCTATATTTGTACCTTTGTGTTTGCATTTACTTAAGTTACCAAACACAAGTGCATGTGTTTGATAACTTATGTAAATGCAAACACAAAGGTACAAATATAGATTTTAACACAGTTATCTATTCTTACCAGTTGGAAAAAAAATTCTACACTGTCACCACCTGAGTGAGATTTTCTGCTTTCAGAGAAGGAGGTGAAATGAAGCAAAGCAGATTATTCTCTATTCCCCTTGAACAAATTTGATCTGTGAAGATATATTTAACTCACAATTACAAACTTTTGATGCGCTCTATTTATCTACTTAGTTCTGCTCTGAAAGCAGAAGTTGTGACTATCTTGTGACCCTGCCACCCTGCAGGAAAGAGTGGGTGCAGGTGACACATCGGTGTTGGGGTTTTGTCAAGGTGGGAAGGATATTAGTTTTGCATCTTGGTTGTGGGACAGCTTGTAAGGGAAACTGAGAGCCCTAATGGGGATTTCTTTCTCTTGCTCACTTGGTTTGACTACAGTGACTTTTCTGTCTTTGTAGAAGGACACAGCAAGGGGTGCATCTACACTGTAGAATTAATGTAGTTTGATACTACTTTAATTTTCATGGCTCAATGCTATGGAATCATGGGAATTGGAATTTCACATGAACTACAATTCACATGCTCCACAGCATTGAGTCATGGCAAATAAAGTGGCGTGAAACTATGTTAATTGTACAGTATAGATCAGACATGGGCAAACTTCAGCCTTCCAGGTGTTTTGGACTCCAACTCCCAGAAATCCCAGTCAGCTTACCAGCTGTTAGGAATTGTGGGAGTTTAAGTCCAAAACACCTGGAGGACCAAAGTTTGCTCACATCTGGTATAGATGCATCCTAGGTCTCTGAGTTGAATCCAGAAGGAGCTTGTCTTATTTCTCATTGAGTGCTGGTGACTTTCATGAATGTTTATTTCAAGAAATTTGGAAATCAAAAACTCATGGTCTGTTTTTCCATATTTAATTTAATAGAAGTTGCATCCTACTTGACAATGTAATGGATTCATTCTATATTCTTACTCCTGACAGACAGTTGACAAGAATTGATGATCAGTCTACCAGTAGCTGTTTTCTGTACCATACTTACCGAGGTGGTTGAGCAGTGGTCCTCTGCATTCCTATGTGACTTGGTTTTGAGAAGGATAAAAGGAATGCCAGTTAATGTCTGTTTGCAACAGATCTTGTGCTTCACTTAGAAAGCAATGTGGTTTAATTATATACAAGAGTTTCCTGTCTTCCTCCAAGCTGTGATGTTTGATGTATGCTGTCTGTGTCTGGTAGTTAATGCACTCTAAAGCACCTCCTCTGCCTTTGTGGCTCCTCCCTTGTTAGGTTAGATAAGAAGAAATCTGAAGCAGGCTGTCCAGAAGACTGAAACACTTCAGTAAGGGAAAGCAGAAAAGGGCAGACACTAGGCAAGAATAGTGACTGATTAGTAATATCATCTAACCAATAGTCAATAACCAGTATCATTTTGACGGCTAGCTTCTCTTCTCTTAGACGTGCTCCAAAGCAGCAGCGTGATGCCTGGTATCCCATTCTTGCCGTTTTCCATCTTACTTGGAGTTCTGGGAATCTTGTGTGTGGGCTTCACAGTGTATTGGAGTCACCACTGGCTTGGTGGCTTTGCCTGGGATGGATCGTCTCAGATGTTTAACTGGCACCCAGTTCTCATGGTGACAGGAATGTTGGTCTTGTATGGCGCTGGTAAGTGGAAAGAGGATCCAAATTCTTACTGGTTCCATTCTCTGCACCCCAGTAGAAAAATCTGGAAGCAAAGCAGTTGCTATTGTGTGCAGAGAGCTTGGAAAATGGGACTTCTTGGGATCACAACTGGCTTGAGGGTTGCATATTATAGTTCCAACTGACTTGTGTTTTGAAGGGTAGGGATGGGGAATTCCTGGAGTCTTCTGACCCTGATGACATCTTTCCTCTTCTGCAGCTGCACTGGTATATCGGGTACCCCTCTCCTGGCAGGGATCCAAGCTTCCATGGAAGCTACTACATGCATCTCTGACCTTGATAGCATCCATCATTGTTGTCCTGGGTCTAGTAGCTGTCTTTGAGTTTCACAATGTGCAGAAGATCCCAAACATGTACTCAATACACAGCTGGATAGGTCTGTCAGCTGTGCTGCTCTTCTTCTGCCAGGTAGGTAAAAATGAATATTTACAATTTTTACAGGTAGTTACAATATTTACGATATTTACAGGTAGTTACAATCTTTTGTGGGCAGCATAGCTATTCCACATGAGGACCTTTGGAAGCTGAGCTGTATCCCATTAAAGGCTATCACTTGTGGCTGAGTATAATTTTCTTCCAGAAATAGAATTTAGTGATAGGACTGTTAGTGACTGTAGATATGTATTCTTGATCTGCATAGTCTCTCATAGTGAGGGCATACATTTCCAGATGGAAAGCAGTCATGACAAATTCTATGAGCCATATACCACCTTACACATCTTACTATACAGCCTCTGAAGTCTCTCTTCTTTATCTTGTGGGATGCAGGCAGGATCAGAGAAGCATCTGGCTATGTATCTGTAGCCACACACAAAATTTGTTGTAGCAATGAGATCTATCAGCATCCTCTGGAAGTTTCATTATTGCCATAACCATTGCTTGTCCTGATATGGGAACATAGCCAGACACTTCTCTTGTCCTGCCCACTTACCATATGGCACAGAAGGAGCTGTATGGTTAATTTGGGGGGGGGGGGGAGAGTTGGGGCACTGGAGGGAGGAAACAAATACTAAGTTCCACAGCACCCCCAAAAGGACCTACACACTCGCAAGAGCAACCTACCTGTGCATTTTTCCCAACAGAATGTAAACCTTTGTATGCTTTTTAAAGAAAACATACTATTTCTTACTAAAGGGTCAATGGTGTTAAAAACAGAATGACCAAAACAACTTGTAAGAGCTGCTGTTGGGCATAGGAGCTATGAAACTATAATAATTTGACACCAAAGTGCATGCTTTACATTCAGAAAGTCTGCAGTCCAGTGCTTGGCATCTCCAGGCAAGGCTGGGAAAGACCAGAGTCTCAAAGCCTAGAGAGCTGCTCCAAGTCTATCAACAATGAGCTAAACAGATCAAATGGTCTGACTCATTGTAAAGCAGTTTCTTATGTTCCAAAAAATAATATCTGCAAATGTACTATTTTGGACTACACCTCCCGGTCTTAGGCTAGCTTAGGGATTCTAAGAGACGTGGTCTGAAAAAGTAACATTCTCAAACTCTGTCAGGTGAGAAGCGATTGAAAAAGTTCAACTGCCCGTCTCCAGTGCAGGAAGACTTTATCTTGTAGCAGAATTTCTTGTTAACTGGTCATTCCTGCCAATATATATGTGTTATCATAATACATAATACAAAATCACTTGCTGTAGTTTGTCTCCAGGCTATAATTCATTTCAGTTCATTTTTTATATTACATATTACTTCTCTGTTACTATACTATCTATTACTACCATGTTTACTTAAACAAACTCATTGAATAATTTGCTAAATGATCTTTCACATATGTAAATTGATTTCATGGATTTACTCTAGTTAGACAGTGCTACCAATTACTTTGCACACCAGTTTACTTGTCATGGTTTCAGAATGGCTTTACAATCTAAATCCAAGAAAACTGGCGTGCAAAGTAATTTGTACCACTAGGTGTTGTGCGGTTTTTAGGCTGGGAGCACTATTTCCTCTGCTTGGCAGATCACAGCTGCAAATATTATGTGATGGAAAGTGTTCCCGTTCTTGTCTTTTCCTTTTCAGTGGCTAATGGGGTTCTGTTCTTTCCTGCTGCCTTGGGCCCCCATCTGGTTCAGAACCCTCTACAAGCCCATCCATGTCTTCTTTGGCTCTGCCATCCTCTCCTTGGTTGTGACAGCATGCATCTCTGGCATCTTTGAAAAACTATACTTCAGACTGTGAGTAGCAGAACTCAAAGGCTGGAGGGAAGGAGCACTATACTCCATTAATAGGAGTGTAGAGTCTAAATCCAGGGAAGTCATACTACCCCTCTATTCTGCCTTGGTTAGACCACACCTGGAATATTGTGTCCAATTCTGGGCACCACAATTGAAGGGAGATGTTTACAAGCTGGAATGTGCCCAGAGGAGGACAGTTAAAATGATCAAGAGTTGGAGAACAAGCCCTATGAGGAGCAGCTTAAAGAGCTGGGCATGTTTAGCCTGAAGAAGAGAAGGCTGAGAGGAGACATGACAGCCATGTATAAATATGTAAGAGGAAGTCATAGGGAAGAGGGAGTAAGCTTGTTTTTTGCTGCCCTGGAGACTAGGACGTGAAACAATGGCTTCAAACTACAAGAAAGAAGATTCCATTTGAACATTAGGAAGAACGTCCTGACTGTGAGAGCTGTTTGGCAGTGGAACTCTCTGCCCCAGAGTGTGGTGGAGGCTCCTTACTTGGAGGCTTTTAAACAGGCTGGATGGCCACCTGTTGGGGCTGCTTTGAATACAGTTTTCCTGCTTCTTGGCAGGGGGTTGGACTGGATGGCCCACGAGGTATCTTCCAACTCAATGATTCTAAGGTAGTGTTAGAATCAGTGTTAAAATGGTTGCTGATAATATGTTTTGGAGAAAACTTTTTGATCCTGACAGAACAACTAATGAATGGGTGAAGCATTTAGACTACTTAAGGGAAGTAACGTTTTTTACTAATGTCAACTTAGAAAGGAAACTGCTCTGCCCATATGGGTCCCAAGAGTTGTGGCAGTATTGGTTTCAAAGATGTCTCTGAGAAGTACCTCTTGGCCATCACAGTGGACACCTTTCCAGCTGCAATGCCTAGAACTCTTTTTTTACCTCTGTTTTTCCCCCAACCCTATCGGGCTGGCAGTGGTGTCTGTGGACTGATGAATCCATGCTGGGATTTAATCCAGACTTTAAATGGGTATCCAAGCTGCTGAATCTAAACGAGGTATGGAAGCTGGTTTATAGAGATCTCTAGGTACGGGAGCTGAAATGCCACCCATGCCAAGGTTTGTTATGCAGTTGAAATAGATTTATACTACTTTGAGATTGTTGATGTAAAGGTGGGACATTGTTATAAGAAATAAATAGTCTACCTATAAACCAACATAGATTATCTGGGATAGTTACAAGGTGGAAAGCTCAAGCCTCATGTGCTAAAGTAGGGGATTATGTGATGTAAAAGAGCTTACTGGTTACACTTCCTCATATCTGGGTCTCTGGGGAAGTTTGTGAGCGGCTACTGGTTTCACATCAAACTTTTCTGTCTTTCCTTTTAGCTCAAACTCATCAACCCCTTACTCCATGCTTCCTACAGAAGCTTTGTTTGGCAATGTACTTGGGATGTTAATCCTGGTGTTTGCACTTTTGGTGTTGTGGGCTCTGGCCAAACCTGCATGGAAACGTCCAGATGTGAATTCAGAAGACACCCAAGAGGTGAGGAATTAAACTGGCTCATAATTCATGCCTGGAGAATTCAGATATTAGAATAGATCTTTGGGAAAGGGGCATATTCTTTTTAGGGACATAAACCACCTATTTCAGGGATACAAAAGTAAGTTTGTTTTGGAACGTTGTACATAGATATCTAGTGCATCCTTACACCACTGTAGTTTTCTTGCATAACAACCAACAACCAGGTGGTGCTGAGCTATCAGTTGCAATCCTCCCCCTCAAATGGGGAGTGCCCATTACTCTCCTTCCCAGACTTCCTGTGTCACTATGCTTGCAGAGATTTTTATGCTCCACCAGGATTAGGTAGGTTTTTTTTTTTTTTTACTTATACTGAAAATCCCATCAATCTCAGCCAACATATCCAGTAGTGAGAAATGATAGCTATATTCCAAAAAGATCTGAAGGCCATGTTTATAGCAGCTTACTGCCACTGGTTGATGACCTCAGTTTTATTGAGTTTATGTTTTTATATGCATATGCATTTTATTGTATTGTATTTTATATTGTGCTTCATTTTAATGTTATTTTTAGGCACTTTGTGTCGTCTGTAAGCCACCCCGAATCCCTTGAGAGAGATGGTGGCAGGATATAAGAATAAAATTATATTATTATTATGCTAATTTTTGAAGACTAATCTGAATTTTCCTTTGTAAAATGATAGGTATGGCCATTTTTGATCAGCCAAGGAGTTGTGATAGCTCTTAACACTGACTCTTGATCTGCTTTTTCTCTACAGCCTTTGCTACATGGAGCCAGATGAAATGTAATGAAGTAACTCTGCAGAACAACCAAGAAGTGCTGCAATGGCCAATTCTCCACTGAGATTTGAGGCTGTCTCCAATATGGGAATCTGCATCTTGAATCGGTGCAGTAAGAAAAAGCAACAAGCTTCCCAGCCTGTTCTATTTGATGGCTCTGCTTTTTGATGGCTTGAAGTACTTTTGCTACAATGGACAGCCGGACAGCAAGTTCTGAACAGCCCATTCTCTGTTTGCTATTTGAATTTGGGGTTTTTTTAGTACATTTATGGCTCACCAAAAACTTAAATTATCAACTAAAATAAATGATTTTGTTTAACCCTTCTGTTGTTCAGCTCAATATGGGTGCCTGTGCACTAAATATTTTTTTTTTTGTACGGCATCTGTAGGATACATTCTCTCCCTGTACTTTTCCCATTGTTCTTTTGTCTTTTTTCCAGACCACAGAATGTTGAATTTTTTAAAAAGAACAAAAATTGCAAGGTACGGTAGTGTCTCGTTTATCCAACCTTCGCTCATCCAACATTCTATATTATCCAACTCAGTCTTCCTCTTGCCCGGATCCACAGCTGTGCATTCAGTGTGATTTACTAGCATGCAACTGTGTTTGTTTTAGCTCAGTAGCAAATTGTTATTTCCCTCTTCGTATAGGTGAGTGTAGAAATTCTTTTTATTGAAATTCTATGAGATACAGCAGGAAAGCTCAGTGGAATCAGGGTCCAAGTTCTACTCCCCCCGCTTCCTGTCTGCATCACCCTAACAAGAAGGTGGCAGACTCTGTCTTTGTAACAATCCTTTTTGGGGTGAAAGTATGGATGCTGCTTTAAAGCATCTGGAGAACCTACTTTCAATTAGCCCAAGAGTTGGCAAAGTGAAACCCATGAACCACAGACAGCCCCAACGCCTGTTTGGTGGTCCACAAAATTTTGAGGGGTCACCATAACCTGAAATCATTTTTTCCACTTTTGGAGGCTTCCAAAAATAGTATTTTTGTTGTTTGCAGGATGGAAGGTCTCCAATTTCCACCTCAAGCCCCTAGTTTTTGTTGTTTTTTAATGTACTGTATGTAGAGACTGGGTCATGTCTGGGTTGCATTTTTTAATTTCTTTACTATTCTAAATGCAGCCCACAATTCCTCAGGAGCCAAAAAGTGCTTCCCAGGCCTTATTAAATGGCCCATCCCAAATTTATTTAGGCAGAGAGCAGTGGGATAGATGGATTCGCTGGCATTTTAACAGTGCATTCCAGGGGCAAACCAAGAATGGGCAACTTGGAAGTCCCTGAACAGACTCAGAAGTGGAGTGGGCAGATCAAAAGACAACCTGGCAAAATGGCACTACCTAAAGAATCCCACACCTTGTGTGAATGTGGAGCAGAACAGACAACTATGTATGCTTGTCCACTATGCCCTCCCTCATGTACAGAAGAATTGTTGGAGGCTACAGACAAGGCCATTGCTGCTGCCCATTTTAGGTCAAAAGATATTTAGCCGCCTGCGCTCCTTCTATTTTTTATCAGTTTTATACTAATTTATGCAATGCTTTTGATACGAAATAATTAAAACTTCATTTTTGGGGGGGGGGGGGAGGTTGGCCAAGAAACTGAGATCAGCGGTGAAAGGCAGAAGGACATCTGGCCTGAGCAAACCTATTTTGCCAATGATCTTCTTCATTGCCACTTAGTCCATAGCTTTTTTTCCTCCTGCTACACCAGTGCCAACAGAATCCCAACCTTATGCATTGCCAGGTCATAAGATCATGTTGTTGGTGAATCGTAACATTCAAGATCCTATTTGCACTTTTTTAGGTGACCCAATTCCTTGCTTTTATAATCTTTGTTTTGTAAAGCTATTTTGCCAGACATTGTTCTTTTAACTAAAAAATTAATTGGCAGTGGTATTTGAGGAGGTCAACCATGAAAGGGAGGCTTCCTCTTCATGGTTAACCACATTAAGTCTCCTCTTAGAACAAGCACTGTATGTCTTCTGGGTCAGAGACCAGCCCTTGGCATGAAATTTAATTTGGGGTTGAATACTTCTCGACGTTGCTTGATGGAGAATGGTTCAGGGCACAGCTATCCATACGGGATAGTCTTCTCTCATTTTGATACAAACAACTAGGAATAACCCACCAAAATCTAGGGCATGTTATAAGGCAGGAAGAAATTCTTCCAGTCATTATCAGCTCCTCACATGGATAACTTTGCTACCTACAAAAATATTGTGTTGTCGAAGGCTTTCATGGCCGGAATACTGGGTTGCTGAGTGTTTTTTGGGCTTTATGACCATATTCCAGCAGCATTCTCTCCTGACATTTCACCCGCATCTGTGGCTGGCATCTTCAGAGGTTCGCCTCTGAAAATGCCAGCCACAGATGCAGGAGAAATAGGCGAGAATGCTGCTAGAATATGGACATACAGCCTAAAAAACTCAGAGCAACCTAAAGATTTATTATTCTCCAGTAGCTTGTACGCATCAGGCTTTATATGATCCTGTCATGAGAGTTCTTGAACTTTGTGGATTATCTAGAACACTGCTCCTCAGAGCATATTAATATTGGGGTGCAGCAATTATTTTTTCCCAGTGTTCCAGTAACTGATGCCTTATCTAGATCTTTTGTCTATAACTCTTTTATTTGCTGGAAATGTATCAGGGATAAGCACTGGTCCAGGGACTACCACTTCAATCTAGAACCATTTTTATCCAGGTTTCAGGCCTGGTTATGGAATAGGCATGTTGTTCGTGAGTGGATATTCTATGTTGGGAATTGGATGGGCACTGCCTTCTTACTCGTTCTATGAGTGACATTATTTGTGCTCTGTTGGCAGATCATTCAAAATCCATTGTATTCCAGTAACAGCTGCAAGATCTGCTGCAAATTCTTAAAGGCAGTGGATTGCAAAGGGAATGAGTTGTAGCTACTTTTGTTACTTTTGCTTATTCCGTAATATATTGCTTTGTTCCTGTATTTTTGTGCACTTATTACGCCTGACAGACTGAACAGGATTGATAAAGGTGAGCTTCGCCTAGGCAGGCCAAGCAAAGCTCATGGCCATCATTGTCTGGCAGTATATTAGGACATTTCATACATTTCTTAAAGGAACTAGTTGCCATGATGGCAGAGGTAGTACTCTTCAGTCTAAACCTAGCTCGCCAGAGAGAGAAGGTTCTTCGCTGCTTTGTTCAGAGCGGATGAAGAGAACTGACGGTTGGCCCCGCCCACGGGCTACTTATACCAGAGGGAGGGGGCGTGGCCTATCTAACTGTCATTATTTTTGATTTGGAAGGTTCCGAATGCTGCTGCGCGAGCGCAGGGAATATCACTTGTATGCATCGCAGGGACTACGTAAGGAAATAAAATGTTATGCACCAGAGTAATCTGATTCAACTATATAGTAGCATGCTTTTCAGAATTCAGAGATATAAAATTCTAAGTTAAAGACCTACTCTTATTTTTGGAGAGCATGACATGTACAATGAGAAACAAAGTTGCTTTTACATAGTCTCTGATGTATTTTTTAATAAGGTAGATAGTTAAACTGGCCAAGTCTACTAATTTTGCCCCCCGATATTCTTGATCATAGTTATTTACGACGTGTTTCATAAAAATACCTTGCTCTAATCATAGAAGGGTATATATTAAAATCTTAGTTGGCATAGTTAAATGAGAATGCTTAAAAGTGCTGCAGTACTGATCAAGAACACCAGCAAATGGGCTTTAAGTCAAGGTTGGGAATTGTGCAGCCCTCCTGATGATTATGAACTGCAACTCCCAGCAACCTTAGCCACAATAGCCACTGGTGAGAAATGCTGGGACCTGCAGATCAATAGCCTTTGGTGGCTTACGTAACTCCCACATCTAGTTTATGCCAAAAACTTCAGCGGATCCTTTCAACAGGAAGGTTCACTTACAGGTCACAGTGTAGGAACAGCTATAGAACCAGCTTTCAAAAAGAAAAAAAACAGGCATCTTATTCACAAACACTACAAAAATGATTGATCCTGAAACAAGAACATAAAGCCCAGTCCTCTTCTTATACGTGGATTCATGGAAACAACCCCCAGTAGCAATTAACTACCAGAGGGCTCTCAGTCAGGTATGTGTAGGGTAAGTAATAGCAGGAGCACAGAATCGTTTTGAAGCTACTGTGATTCAAGGAGAAAGCCCTGCAGAAGAGAAGGAGAACAGCTGCATGGCATTTTAGCAAGTTCTAGGCTACGCTCTGAATCATGGACTGGGATGGTTTACTCTGCAGCCCTTCCAAAACTGCATGAAGAATTGCGGCGGCTGCCACGGCCCCAGGATCCGGCTGCTCTAGGCGGGCTGAACTGATGTAACTGGCTCTGCCGGCAGCAGCTTCCATGTTCTTTGTAGATTCAGCAGCAACTTCAGCCTCCTGATGAAAACCAGCAGAAGTGTAGTAGTAAATACATTCATCAAGAACAAAGGCATTTACATGCTTCTCAACTTGAAATCATAATGCAGAATTTGGATTGTACAGTCTATTTTTGAACCTGAGAGAACACTCTTAAGAATTTCTACATTCTCCAGCATGACTCTATGGTCAAGCTCTCCTGGAAGCTGGCCACAGAATAACACTGTAAGATCAGCAATTTCTAGAGAGGTGTTTTCAAGGAATCTTTACATCCTCCAGCATGACTTTGTGGGAAACATCTGGAGGAAGTTTGTTAAGAGTCACAGTGGAGAACCTATAGATTTCTAGGAAGAATATGTTAATCAAATATAGGAATAATCAGACTCGCAAAACCCAACACGCAAATGTGGAGGGACTTTATATTGACTGATTGCATTTATGTGCTGCCCAGTATAGAACCTATTCACTTTCAGCTAACTATGATTTTAAACCATGCAAATAAACCACTGTTAAGATTCCATCTGTCTAATTTTTGGGGGGATTTTTCAGATTCCCAAATCAAAATTCTTTAGAATTATTTCAAGTAGATTGTTAGCCATAATCTTTATTCTGAGAGAAAAATATAAAGAATTTATATCAAACAGGATACCCAATGTATGTGTGCGGTGTGAAAAAATGTACTCAACAGTATTCCTCTTCTCATTAAATTATGAAAAGGTGATTTACTTTAGGCTGCATGCATATGAATAAACTCACCTGTACAGCTTTGGCCAGGATCTGCAATGCATTTGCTTTTGGTTTCTTTAGATCTCTGAGTACTACAGCAGCAGCACAAAGTGAATCCAGCTAGACAAGAGATTAATGAAGCAGATAGCAACTCTATCAGGGCAATAATAGAAAGCCTTTCTCTCGTATTGTGACACGGATAATATTGCCTGGCTCAGCCCGGCACACTTGAAAGACTGCCCTCCCCCCCTTTAAATTCTTACTCACTATAATGGGAAATATTTCTAGTATCCTAAAATGCTATGTCTGGCTCGGGGGGGGGGGGGCAGGCAAATGAGTTCCCATTGCTAGGAAGAGAACACTGCAAAGGATTGTTTGTATGTAAGATTATAGCAGAAGAGGCAGAATGTTATATAAATGTTTTTATTGCATAAATGTAAAAGTCACACATATATTATCCTATAGGATTTAAATACAAAATTCCACTAAAACAGTACTGGAAAGCTTCTGAAAGCTTTGTTGATGGTACAAAATGTATTCCTGTCTAATATAGAAATATATTGTACACAGTATTTAGATCTCATTTTTATGTACATCTTCAGAGTCAGTAAATATTAGTAACTACCCTTAATATTAGTCAGCACAGATAAAACATAAACCTACATAATCTACTTATGTATTAAAGCACTCCTGCAACACTGAGCCCTTTGTAATATATGAAGAAGCCCTGGGACAAAGATGTGAACTGATACATCATTAAGTCACTCGTGCCAGGCATATGGCAAATGTAATTGCATGACCCACTTTATTAGAACTGTGTGCAATTTCTGTAAAATGTGAAACTAAACAAAAATGGAAAATTACAGAGGGCCATTTTTGCCTCAAGTTGAATCAAGGCAACTGAAGAGACGATAAAAGAGAGACATGGGTAAATTACTCACCATGGTCCTATCTCCAGGTGCTGCTCCTCCATACCTGTCAGATAAAAACAGTCAGCAGCGTAGTATGTACATACGCGCAGGACCATAAGTCACAGACAGCAGCTGGATTCACAGAACCATGAGCCAGAATTTGGACAAACGCAGATTTGCCATGAATCTTACACACATCATATATGTGCTCCTACTTGGCTCCTCTCACTGGTGTCCATATGAATCTGAAATCTTACCACAAGGACACGGGTTTTGGCTTCTTGAGTCCTTTACAATACAGATACTAAATGAGGAATTGTTCTTGGCTAATGAGTGCTGGTTTATTTGGAAGTAAAATAAAGATCCTGGGTTGGTATGCATTTAATTCTGGTTTAACTACCTGAGTTTAGCTATTGGCAATAGCAGTCAGGCCAGAATGAATATGTCACACACATATCAATGCACAGTGCATTAACAAATCAGGATAGACTAGAATCTGGTTTTAAAATCTTGTGGGAATTCAGTGGCTCTCTCTTTTGGAGGAAGGACAAAAATAAGCAGGAGTTGTGATATATCACTTCTGTTACAATGATGTAAAGGCAACACTTACCTCATCATGGCCTTAATACCAGCGTCCATAGCTAATGACCAGTATGGCAAGTCATCACTAAGCCGTAGGGGCTGAGCAGCTGCTGTTAGAAACAGTCCATAGAGCTGTAAGGAAATATGATAGCAGGCAGCATCGGTAACCACCAAAGCACCAAATGTAGGACTTCTCTTTTATGTACAGGCAGTCCCTGAGTTACAAACATACAACTTACAAATGACCCATAGTTAAGAATGGGGATGAGACAACAGAAAGTGAGAGAAATCAACCCCTCGGCAGGAAAATTCAATCTAGAAAGTTATCATGGGGAAAAGGTGTCTCCACTGAAGTTTTAGCACCAATTCTTGTTTCCACAACAAGCCATTTTTTTTTTCTTCCTCATGTTCAGATGGAATCTCCTCTCTTGTAGTTTGAAGCCATTGTTCCGCGTCCTAGTCTCCAAGGAAGCAGAAAACAAGCTTGCTCCCTCCTCCCTGTGGCTTCCTCTCACATATTTATACATGGCTATCATATCTCCTCTCAGCCTTCTCTTCTTCAGCTTGTCAATATCTCTCTCGAATTGTGGTGCCCAGAATTGGACACAATATTCCAGGTGTGGTCTAACCAAAGCAGAATAGAGGGGTAGCATTACTTCCCTAGATCTAGACACTATGCTCCTATTGATGCATATCTAGAAATTCTTCCGAATTGTATAGATTTCCCCTCTCGACCAACCCAGAGAAAACAAGGAATGTTACATCTTATTGCGTTTATCTTCCTAATTCACTGTTCATTCTCTCATTATACAAACACATTAAAACTAAGAGTATTTATTATTAACTCTTAGTATTTAGCTAGAAGCTATTGTGGTTTTCTTAAGAAGGGTGTCTAAAACTCACCGCGCCTGAAGAACCCCCCATCTTCTCCAGCAATAGCTTTGCAAGGGAAGAGAGCAGCTTAGAGGGCTGAGCTGGCAGAGGTTTTGCTTCCATCCATTCCTGGATTGCTAAGGAAACAATACTCACATATTACAGATTTTTTTTCAACATGTGCCCACTTACTCTACAACAATTCATATTTTCCAGCAACAGATATTTCACAAAGAGCTAAGAAAATTAGTGGTGGAAAACTGAACTTGTCTTGCAAAACAACTCTGCTGATATTTCTGAATTGGAATATAATTTTTCTAAACAAAGAAAAAATCCCTTAACACTTTTCAATGCAGGAGTATATTGCTTCCCTCTGCTACATGATATTCAGTATACACAGAATCATAGAATCAAAGAGTTGGAAGAGACCTCATGGGCCATCCAGTCCAACCCCCTGCTAAGAAGCAGGAATATTGCATTCAAATCACCCCTGACAGATGGCCATCCAGCCTCTGCTTAAAAGCTTCCAAAGAAGGAGCCTCCACCACACTCCGGGGCAGAGAGTTCCACTGTGAACAGCTCTCACAGTCAGGAAGTTCTTCCTAATGTTCAGATGGAATCTCCTCTTGTAGTTTGAAGCCATTGTTCCGCGTCCTAGTCTCCAAGGAAGCAGAAAACAAGCTTGCTCCCTCCTCCCTGTGGCTTCCTCTCACATATTTATACATGGCTATCATATCTCCTCTCAGCCTTCTCTTCTTCAGACTAAACATGCCCAGTTCCCTAAGCCGCTCCTCATAGGGCTTGTTCTCCAGACCCTTGATCATTTTAGTCGCCCTCCTCTGGACACATTCCAGCTTGTCAATATCTCTCTGAATTGTGGTGCCCAGAATTGGACACAATATTCCAGGTGTGGTCTAACCAAAGCAGAATAGAGGGGTAGCATTACTTCCCTAGATCTAGACACTATGCTCCTATTGATGCAGGCCAAAATCCCATTGGCTTTTTTGCCGCCACATCACATTGTTGGATCATGTTTAACTTGTTGTCCACGAGGACTCCAAGATCTTTTTCACACGTACTGCTCTCGAGCCAGGCGTCCCCCATTCTGTATCTTTGCATTTCGTTTTTCCTGCCAAAGTGGAGTATCTTGCAATTGTCACTGTTGAACTTCATTTTGTTAGTTTTGGCCCATCTCTCTAATCTGTCAAGATCGTTTTGAATCCTGCTCCTGTCCTCTGGAGTATTGGCAATCTCTCCCAATTTGGTGTCGTCTGCAAATATGATGATCATGCCTTCTAGCCCTTCATCTAAGTCATTAATAAAGATGTTGAACAGGACCAGGACCAGGACAGAACCCTGCGGCACTCCACTTGTCACTTCTTTCCAAGATGAAGAGGAAGCATTAGTGAGCACTCTCTGTGTTCGTCCACTTAACCAATTATTTTGTTTTATGTTCAACAGGGCTATGCGGTCTACATTTGGGGGGGAAGAGGGGTTGATGACATTCCACAGCATCACTAAGGAATGACTTAACTTGGAAGTGGGGGTGAGGTGAGAAAATAAAAAAAAACACTTCATTGAGGAATTGTCCCCCTTTCCAAAAAGTATCTGCTCTATTTGAGTATAATGTATTATCAACACGCTATTCGAAGAATATATTATCCTGCCACACAGAGGCTGCAAGAGCTATAGCTCCTATTCTTAGAATTCTTGCTCCAGAAAATGTTTCTGCTAATCAGTACTGATAATAGGCAAAAGAGGTATACTAATGGGTTGAATTCCATTTTTGAAGAAAAGGTAGGATCTAAATAAATATGATGATCATGATATGATAACACAACATATCTTAAAGAAACAGTTCCCAGCAGCAAATATTATCAAGGGAGACAAACAGGACCTAACTGCTTAAGATACAACAGAGGAGTTGTTCAAAGATGGCTAACCTCCGGCTGCCCGTGCGTGTGTGCTGCCACAGTCCCCATCGCCTGCAGCCCGATCCAGATCATTCAGCTGCTCCTGTAGGCTCAGCAGTCTATCACAGACCTTCTCTAGAACTTGCCTCACATAGGGGGAGGGTGGCACTAGAAGAATTCCAGGTTATTTCAGCAACATGTACATTTTGCTCTGTAGTTCAAGTATTGATGTACTGTTGATTTTCCTTTCATAGGTTTGCCTCCATCCAAATTAGCCCTCTGAATAAATGGGACTTGCCCAAGTGTTGGTTTACCAGGTTCCCATTGATTCCATGGGTCTACTTTAGTTTGGATGAGCAATTGTGTGTATGTGTACAAGAGGTAACCATTACTTTATCAGAAGGTTATGTTTATTTGATTTCTCATTATGATTTGGGCAAAAGGTTCAGTTTGAAATGAAATAATACAAACATACAGTGTTTAATCTATGATCATCTAGTCATATGTAAGTCACTTACACTAGATCATGGGGGACATTATTAGTGTGTGAAGTGACACAGGGTTTGTCTTAAAATATACTTTCTGTGTTGAACAGCCTCCAAGCAGCCAAATGTCTCTGTAAGAAAATACAGAATTCTTTCTTGATTTATGGGCATATAATATTTAGGTAACGATCACTTTATGACCAGACTTATCTTTCATACTTTTATTGTTAAATGCTTTATGCAATACAAACAAGATTGGAAAGCTGACAATGATTTTTCATACAGGAAAAATAATACTTGTCGGACTGTAACAGTCAGATTTCCATGTATTTACAACCCAGGAGTCCTAATAACAGCAAATTCCTGTTTTTATAACTCTCTGTTATATGGCTTTACTAGTACTTGAAGTATCCTAGTTTATAGCCTCCCATTCAGGTATATCCTTATCAGACTGATGTGTGCTGCTTCTGCTGTTGTTTCATGACATTTCCATTGTGCTACTATGTCCAGGTTCAAAAGTTAAACTAGACGGCTATTCTGTTCAGTAATTTTCTGAGTGCTTTTCAAATGACATATATTTGATTCAAAACTTTCTTGATGATATGATTCCCTGTCATATTCAGACTGTATTTACTAGATTTCCAAATGTGTTCCAGTTCTTAAATATACTAGTGTCATATGGGAAACTATCACATTCTTTCCATCTCACAGAAATAAACCTAACTGGTCTTTTACATATTCAAACAGAAATGCTATCATTCAGAAGTATCTTATTATTGGTATTGAACAGGTGGATTGAGGTATGGGAGGATTTTGTTTGCTATGTCGTGCGAATTGTGAGAAGGCAAAAGTCTAGTAGAGGCTGCAAATGGACAGTAGAAACCAATGCTTCCATTATATTGATTTAAAACTATACATTACCCTGGTCAAAACTCTCTTTCACTCAGACTTACAGACAAGACTCCTTAGAGGCAACATCTGTCCCTAAAGCTTTTTAAAAACGTTCACACTATATACTAAACAAAAAATGTCCTGTCATGTCAGGGAACCAATGAAAGAATGAGGCCACACCATAATAGCAAATCCTGAGTAGGAGCAGATGGTTCAAACAGTACCTTGTGGTGGAAAAGACTCCTCTTCCTCAAGGTCCTCCTTCGGTGCTATCCTCTCTCTTTTCTGGCCTGAGACGGACACTTTGGCAGGTTGTGACCAGGCAACAGCTGTAGTATCTGAATCTGGAAATTGAAATGCAACTATGAGCTGCAGTTGTAAACAGTTTAACAACAGCATGGCTCTGATTTTATCAAAGTTGTGCTTTCTTAGGCAAGGAGTATTCAGAGAGGGTTTTTTGGCCAGTTCCTTCCTCTGAAATATAGCCTACAGCACCTGCTATACATTGATTGTTTTCCATCAAAATAATAAGGGCTGTCTTTGCTTAGCATTCAAGATCAGACAGGATCTGGTGCCTATAGGGTATTTTAGGCCCTTCATTCAAAATACATTAACAGATAAAATTGAAAATTCTCATCATATTTTTTTATTAAGCTGAAACAAAAAGGGTCTGTGTCTGATGTTAATTATGAGCAAGCATAAAAGAGCTGGAAAGCTAGTCAAGAAAGGGCTTGTATTAATGAGAGATAGGTGTATGCTACCAGTTGGATTGCTGTGTATTCTAAGTGAGCTCACACCAATGCCTCATTGATCAGGTTGAAAGTAAAATGAATACATCATATATATTTAAATGTATATTAAGTGGCAGCTTAACTTACAAGTTGCAATGTTAGAAAGACAACTGACCACTAGGAAACTCACCAAGGAGACTCAAGATCTCATCATCCACAAGCAGAAGGGTAAGGGAAACACCTGCCATCTCCAATGCAGTCATAAAAGAGCCAACAAAAGCCCGGGCAATATGAACACCCTTTTTTTCTGTAATAATGAAATGAAAACTGAACAGTAAGGAAGTAGGCTGAGAAGAAATCACAGAAGAACTGATCTAGAATTTTTCTTCAAATGACATATAGTCATATTTGCAAGAAAATAAATATCGTTTAAAACACCATCCATTTTGGGTATTTGGACAGAAGGACCACAATGTAGGAACAAACTAAACGAAAAACTCAGACAATTGATTACAAACTGGGAGTACAACAGTGATTATGGCAAATTTAGTTCTAGAATTTGAGAGTAGAACAGTGTTTATAAAAACTCCCACAGGTAAAGGGGGAAGATATGTCTCTTTTAAGATTCCCCTTTCCTTGAAGCCTCCTGAAAAATCAGTTTTGGAAGTATGGGAAACCATCTGGAACAGAATAGGAAGTAGTTCCAAAGCAGCATGACTTATCAGCAAAAAATCATTTCTCCCACTCTCTTACATAGCAACCTTGCTAGAATGCAAATAGAAACCTTTGTGGAAAAGGACTTGTTTTGCTAACTTACATAATTTGTAATGATTCAATGGATCCAATTAATTGTGATTAGAAAATGGATTCAACCATATTTGCCTAACTAGAATAATGATATTGTTCTAGTTAGGCAAATATGGCTGAATCCATTTTCTAATCACAATTAATGTGGATCCATTAATGTGGATCTAGTTAGCCATATCTGCCTAACTAGAATAATGATATTTCCTCTAAGCCTAATCCTACCATAATTTGTCAGCTCTTAGTTGATGATGTGGTGATTGGGACTAACTGATAAAGATGTAGGGGTAAATCATGGTTAATGCTGAAATACATGGGCAAGGAAGTAGTTCCTAGGGAAGGCATGGGCAAACTTCAGCCCTCCAAGTGGGAGTTGAAGTCCAAATGCTGGGAGTTGAAGTCCAAAACACCTGGAGGGCCCAAGTTTGCCCATGCCTGTCCTAGAGAGTGAAAGTGATTTCCATGGACTGATCTGTGATACAATTTAAAAATCCTATCTTTGGTCAAGAGGTTAAAACAGATGACCTTTATTCCCCTTCCCCTTTAATTTTAGGACTGTTTGAAATTCCAATAAGAAAATTTAAGGAACATATGGCACGTTTTCAAAATAAAAAAAACACATCTTATATATTGTATTAAATACGAGGACCAGTGCGGTATACTGTTTAGACTACAGGCCTGATCTTAAGGGGTTCAGGTAGTACTTTCCACAGAGACAAAAAACACTGGGCTACCTTGGACAATCACTCTCTTTTAGCCTGACCCATCCTTAGGGTCGCTTTTAGATGAAGTATAGTATAAATATCATGTATAACACAAATAGATAATTTCTCTTAATTCATTCTCAAACTTACCAAGATACCGTACTGCAGATCCAGCCACTACTCCCAACTCCAAATATGATAATCCACCCAGATTATTTACTACCAAGACTACAGGTGCACCTGAAAGCAAAAACAAAATGGGTATGAGTAAAACCAACTCTCAGAAAATAGGGAAGCTTGAGAAAGAACCTATAATCTGTTGCAATGGGATATTATGTTAATCAGTTTTGCTTGACATAAAGTATATTTTGTTTGGCATTATATATATTGTTATATTTAAATTCCCGTTTTTTTTTATTCTGGCTGTAAGTACACATAGTACTCAACATACACTAATGGGAACATCATGTCACATTGTTATTAATCTTACATGCACATCTAGGAAAGTTAAGGTTAATGTTTCAGAAAGTAAAAAAGAATACATTCTTGTGTATATATTATGTCTGGAAAAACCATAATCTTTCTCTACAGGATAAATGATTTGCCAGGAATTTGATTTGTAGGACCTGTAGGGCATTGCAGTCACTGGTCAAATTTTGTTAGTATTCCTGTTCAGATTGCTATTGAGAAGTGTTCATATCATCCCTCAATATTCTTCGGCTTTTCCTTCATCTCTTTATCATCTGAAACATGAAGTGAAGATCCATAACCTGGCACAATTGGCTATTGGATGAACAGAATGCTTTAATTATAGAGGGAATTATTCCCTAATTTCCTTTTAACCAACCTGCACAACATCTCATCATGCTTTCTTTTTTGGAACAAGAACGGAAACATTATTATAGTCTTTCCCTTTTAGAAGTGCTGTCCACACAGAATTGTTCTTCATCTGTAAGACAAGATAGCACTTTGCTGGTGTAGTTGCACTGATATTATTTCCTCTTCAGCACAGAAAGACTTTTTTTTGGTGGGGGGCTTTGGTGGGGGACTTGGAGGTTTGTTACATTTCATGACTGCTTCTCCACATCAGAGTTGACATCATCTTGGTTAATAGAAATAATATGCATTACTCACCAGACTTGAGCTGCAAATGTGAGTCACTAGAATGACTTGTCATGTGATTCAACATTATCTTCACAATTTGATCTGCTGAGGTCATCTATGAAGAAGGTATATATAAATAAGTCAATTGTGGACCCTGAACCTCATTTGAGGCCGTATTGCAGTCCCCATAGGCTTTCAAACCCTTCAAATATGAGGATTTTCATGTGAAACCTGCAGCAAACACACCCAATGCACTAAGAAATGTCTTTCACTCTTCCCCAAGTATTTAAAATCACCTGGAAACTGGCAAAATCAGTGACATGACATCTGATGTGCCAGGACTGAGACTAAAACTGATGCCTGCCCAGTTGCCCGTCACTAGTACAACAGATAAAACTGTACTGCTCTATTTGTGAGATGCATTAGGCAACTTACTTTCATCCTGCGCACACCAGCTTCACCATGAATTCCTACGGAAAGTGCAAAATGTTAGCAAAGGAATCTGATATGGCTAGCTCCTTCCTAAATGAAAGCTAATTTAGTTCATAGACACTAAACTGTTTTAGGAAATCTCAGATCTTCCTTAATTAAGATACATGAATGCAAGTATATAACCAGTGAACTGTGTAATGATTTTACTTCTTTTTACATTTTATTCTGAAACTTTTTAATTTAACTGTCTCTGGGAACTACACTGGGACCCACTCTAGTTAGGCAGCAGAGAAATGCAATATATAAATAAAATCTCCTTTTGCAGACAAAAAAAAGCAGTTTTCCCATTTATACCACAAAGCCACTACAACCACACAGGACAGGCAATGGGTCATAATTGGCAATTGAGATGCACAGATAGCTTTGCAAAGTAAAGGGCACATAGGATCAAAGAGGCAGGGTTCGTAAGACCACTGCAAGGAAGTTGGTAGGCAACAGTGGAAAACATATGCTCACCCAAGCCGAGTTCAAGCTCATCATCAGCAAGCTGGAAGGTGGGCATTGATCCTGGGACACTGCAGGGGGACAGACTCACACCTAGGGTGCCTATGTAAGAGAAAGAAAAAGTAAACCCCACCTATCATATATTTCAACAGCAGGACAAGGAAATAAACATCAAACAGGGCACATCTTGGTTTACCTCCAATAAAAAGAAGTACTTAAATGCTTACCCATTTGGCTTTTGACAGCAGTAACTTTTCGAACGATTTCCTTCAGACTAACCCCTGCTTCAGCAAGAGCCCCAGCTACCTAAATACAAATTACAGTAAGGAAAAACGCTACACTGATCCTGCAACACAAGGAATGGGAAAGATCGCCGTTCATTTGCACACATTCATATAACATGGACAGAGCTGAAAGTTTCAGTACTAAAGCAGAAGTAAAACAATTGCAGATATACTACTAGTATTCCCTGTACTAATATTCCCTGTAATAAGATACCTGTGTATTATACTCCCTATTCCCAGATTATCTCCCATCCCAAGTTTCTAATATATGCATACTGTACATCAAACATTAACTTTATTCAGAAATCTAAATGGAAACAATAATATGTCCTCCTAAGGACAGTTGTGAAGCTCAATGCAATTTCTATTTACTGAGTACAAATACATATTATTTAAATTAATGTCAAATTATACCATATTACAAAATATAAACATCTGATATTATTAAAATACTAAAACATTTTTAAAAACCCTCAGAACACGGCTAACAATAACTGACCCCATAAAATGGGAAAGCTTTCCATGGTTAAGAAAGACACTGAAAATCACTAGGCTAAGTGTGTAATATCCACTTGAGAGTAGGGGTGTATAAAATCCAACTGCAACATTATAAAGCCACCAGCACTGTAATATAAACCTAAACTCATTTTCATTGTTGTGGGTATAACAATTTTGAAACACAAATACTATTTCTCCAGAACTGTTTATATTTTGTAATTCTATATAAGCAGAATTTTTCATGCTAAACATGGTAATATAAGTCAAGTCATATTCCCTACAGCAGCTAAAAACAATCCGAAGTGTCTGTGGGCAAAATGCATCTAAAAGAATTAACATGGGATCCTCAATCAGTGCAATGTTCAGAATGGAATTATCACTGATACCTCACACTACAATGTGTTTAGGCCTCAAAGTAGAAAATGTTCTGGTTAGTGAAAAAGTTAGCCGAAAGTGAGAGGCAGGCCATTCCTACCTTGTGTATAAGCACTGTGCCACATAGTCCTCTCCTGCCAGCCTTCTTCTGTTTGGTGAAAGCAGAGTCATCCCCAACCACCACCATGTCCACATCAGCCCCTTCTGCCCGTGCCTGTTCCAATGCCAGCCCAAAGTTCAGGCGGTCCCCAGTATAGTTCTTCACTATCAGCAATGTCCCAACTATAAAGGAGATGAAAAACTGAGTTACGTTCTAGCCCTCAATCAGAAGAGATATTAATCTACCAGAAACACTACTATACCTGCTCCAGCTTCTTTCATAGCCCGAATTGCTGCTAAAATGCTACCAACTGCAGGAGAAGTAAATACTGGGCCAGCTACTACTCCACTGAGCATTCCCTTTCCAATGTATCCTGAGAGGGGGGGGGGGGGGGGGAGAGAGAGACAGAACTACATTACACTTTTAGAATACTTACATTTCATATATATACAGTATATTTTCATAACTACATATATCTCAGATGAGATCTGTCTAAACTTAAATTTTATTTATGCTTCATATATACTTTGTATACATAGCCTGAAGATAATTTTATACCATATTTTAAATAATTTTGTGAGGGGACATGGACGAACCCTCCCTGCAGAACTGCAACACCCCTGGGCAATGTCTTTGTAGATGGCTGATTCTCTCACACCAGAAGCGACCCTTTAGTTCACTTCTGATAAAATAAAATAAAAAATTATGCCCAAAACTAAGTTTGTTTGCTGCCATCAAATCAATTTCAACTTATGACAACTCCATGAATGAGGCTTCCAAATCAGCTGACCATCACAAAGTCCTGCTCAGGTCTTACAGACTCAGGACCATGGCTTCCTTGATTGAGTCAACCATCTGGAATGGGGTCTTTCTCTTTTCCTATTGTCTTCCACCTTACCAAGGATTATTATCTGTTCAAGTCAATTATGTCTCCTCATGATATCACCAAAGTAGGGAAGACAGTTTACTCACTTTGATTTCTAGGTGGGCGTTCAGGCTTGATTTGCTCTGGGACCCCTTTGCCTTTTTCGCAGTACATGGTATCCATAGAACACACTTACATTACAGTTCGCCTGCTATTCAAAATAACCAGCAATCAAACCCAGCAGCTATCAGAAAGAATTGCTGTGGGAAAGTATTCTATTCAAGTTGTCTCTAAATATGGACTTTGAGAGTGCTCTTTGTATTGAGGAAATACTGCACATTTCACTGAGTTTTGGATAGTAAAAGAGGACCATCCCACCACATACCTAGACTTCCTATGGCACTAACTCTACTAACCTGCATGTGCAGGCTCATGTCCCGATCCACCTCCAGAAATCAATGCCACTTTGCCCTGCAGGTTTTCCAAGTCAGCACGCAATGCCACTCTGTGTCCTTGCAGGATCTGAAGATGAGGGTTGCATGCCACTATCCCAGCCAATGAATCATCTGCACAACCCAGGATTGTGTTCACTAGCTTTTTTGAGCCCTAAAAAAGGCAGAAAAAAACAAGATACACACTCAAGTTTTTAGCATGGAAACAGTCCCAAAGTCATTATTCTACCAGCTTCAGAGATTTCAGAAACTTCTTGTTGCTGCAGGACTTTATGCACATATGATGATTCTGTAGTAAAACCAGCAAAGGAAATCTAGCAGGAGACACAGGTAAGTTTCATGTTGTACTTGAGCCTGCATATCTCTCCACATCAACTTCCTCTTAAACTGCAGAGCTGAAGAAAAAGGGGGACTGCTTGAACAACTACTATTTACAGATCTTTCACCTCTTGGACTTTGGCTCCCATCATGCCCCAAGATAGGAAAACTAGGAAATTCAGTCTGATGTGTTACTTATTCACAAATGCTTACAAACTGCCCTGAGTCACTTTTGGGCTGATATGGGCGGGATAGAAATAGTGTAAATAAATAAATAAACTACTTTCATCTCAGTATTTCAAAACAAAAAAAAATCACAGAATATAAAAAATACATAGGAGTAATATAGAAAAGTTATGCAACTATCCATTTGGAGCTCTTTCTTTGCAGCAATGGCAGAAGCAGTTGTAACAATCAAAACTCAGATACATGTAAGAGTTGCCCTCATTGTCTAGTTACAGTATATTCTCCCTTTCTTTCTATGTTCCCTGCCTGTCTATTGTATGTACTTAACAATTTCAAAAATAGATCAAGCAGATAACAAAATTCTTGTTCCCATTATTTTTAAAGAAAAATGACTCCACAGTGAGAAATCCCTAACTCAAGCTATAAGCCTTGCTATTAGAGTGAAGTAGGGCTGACTGTTGACTCAGACCAGGGCTGTGTGCCGGCCTCCATGCAGTGAAGTGGAATGGCAGAGTAAAAATATGGCAAAATGAACTAATTGAAGAACAGTAGGCCTTTAGAATTGGCTGGTGTTTGGTTCCAGAATTCCATGTCCCCCGGATACCAAAATCTGTGGAGGCTCAAGCCCGCACATTCATTTGTAATGACAAACAGCCCTCCACATCTGTGAGTTTAACTTTTGTGGATTTTATTAATATGATTTCTCTAGGAATCTGTGTTCTCCAGGTGGTCAACTTTTGCTGGAAGATCTAGAGATCTCTAAAGAAATTCTCTCAGTTTTAAAATGTGAGCTTTTCACTTGTGGTTTTCCACTTTCCTGCAGCCCTGACCCCAGGACTATATATATATACATAGAGACACACACACACACATACAGTGGGTTGCTGTGAGTTTTCCGGGCAATATGGCCATGTTCCAGAAGCATTATCTCCTGACCAACCTCTGAGGATGCCTGGCATAGATGTGGGTGAAACATCAGGAGAGAATGCTTTTGGAGCACGGCCATACAGCCCGGAAAACACAGCAACCCAGTGAGTCCAGCCATGAAAGCCTTCAACAACACACACATATATAACTGTATAGTAAAATATGCCCTTATACAAAATGTCAAAACCCAGATTTGCTCTTTGGATTTATATATATATATATATATATATATATATATATATATATATATATCCAAGAAGGGGGTGCTTGAATTTGTGGATACAGAATTAATATAGGGAAAATGTGCCACATTCATCTATTTAGTTAGTTTTATTAGCATTTACACCACATTCACTTGCCAGAAAAATTCAAAACAGATCACAAACGAATTTAAAAAAATGTTTTTTTGTCCTTATGGGTCTCTTTAAATACAATGACACAAGAAGTGATGGACAGGAAAATGGGGTGGGGGTCTACCGTTAATATACTGCAGTTCGACACCACTTGCCCTAACGCAATGCTATGGAACCATGGGAGGTTTAGTTTGGTAGGGCACCATCTCTCTTTGGCAAAGGAGGCGAAGGACCTTGCCAGATTGTCCCTTCCAGGCTCCCATCACGTTGAGTCCTGGCAGTTCAAGGGGCGGGGGGCAACTGCATGACTTCTACAGTGCAGGTACACCAAGGCACGAGCTTTCCTCGCTCCTCCAGGGGAGAGGGATGAGGAGAGTTTAAAAACTCCGCTGGGCCTTGTCAGTTTTTAAGCAGAAGTTGGATAGCTATCTAGAAGCATAGAGTTGGAAGAGACCTCATGGGCCATCCAGTCCAACCCCTTTCTGCCAAGAAGCAGGAGTATTGCTTTCAAGTCACCCCTGACAGATGGCCATCCACCTTCTGTTTAAAAGCTTCCAAAGGAGCCTCCACCACACTCCGGGGCAGAGAGTTCCACTGCTGAACGGCTCTCGCAGTCAGGAAGTTCTTCCTAATGTTCTGATGGAGTCTCCTTTCTTATAGTTTGAAGCCATTGTTCCGTGTCCTAGTCTCCAGTAAACAAGTTTGCTCCCTCCTCCCTGTGACTTCCCCTCACATATTTATACATGGCTATCATGTCCCCTCTCAGCCTTCTCTTCTTCAGGCTAAACGTGCCCAGCTCCTTAAGCCGCTCCTCATGGGGCTTGTTTTCCAGACCCTTGATCATGTTAGTCGCCCTCCTCTGGACACATTCCAGCTTGTCAATATCTCCTGTTGAGAGCGTTTTGATTGTGTGTTCCCACAAGGCAGGATGGGGTGGACTGGACAGCCCTGGTCTCACCTGCATGTTGTCAGGAGGAGCTGCGCCGGGGGACAGAGAGGGAGGCCAGGCGGCTCTTCAGAAGGCGACACCTTCGAGGGGGCGGGGCGGAGGGAGGGAGGGAGAGGCTCGCGCCCCTCGCTCGGACTTCGCCCTGGACTCCAAACTCCGCTTGGCTGGAGTACGAAACACGCGCCCCCGGCCTGACTGGGCGGGGCCAAGGCGCTGATTGGCAGCGGCGCGCTCGAGCGTCGACGGTTGACTGAATGGCGGTGGCCGAATCCCCTTCCAGTCACGCGCAACGCAAGGGGCGGGGGCGGAGGTGTTAAGCGCGCCTGCGCGACCGTCCTCCACCCCCCACTATTGCCTCCCCTTTCTGGCATCTCACAGGTAACCAAAGCGGACTAGGGAGGCTTCCACGCATGCGCCTCAAATCCCGCTCCTCTCTTCGCCGAGGCGTCGGTTCCACGCATGCGCCCAAAGCCCACTCTTGGCTTGGCCTCCCTCCGACCACTAGGGGCCGCTCTTTCCCCCTATTAAAACCTGGGAGGCGCTGCCGTCGCGTTTCCCGTGGTGCCCCGCGCGGGCACTCTGGCCGCGGCGGCGGTGGTGTCTCGCTGGTGCCATCGGCGGCGTCGAGGACGTGCTCCTTCCGCGCGCCCCCCTCCGCCGCCCGAGGGCCTTCCTCCGCCCCGCCGCCATGTCGTGCAACTACGTGGTGACGGCGCAGAAGCCCACCGCCGTCAACAGCTGCGTCACCGGTAAGGTGGAGTGGGGGGGGCGGGGGAGGGAAGGGGGGGGGAATATCTCTGAGGGCAACTGTCACTGGGTGTGTGTGTGTGTGGGGTGGGAAGGCCGCGCGCGCCTTGGGAACTGCGCCCCCTGAGGCCGACCCTCTGGTGTTTCGGACCCCAACCAGGACATTTCACCTCGGCGGAGGACCTCAACTTGTTGATCGCCAAGAACACCCGCCTCGAGATCTATGTGGTCACCGCGGAAGGGCTGCGGCCCGTCAAGGAGGTTGGCATGTACGGCAAGATCGCGGTCATGGAGCTCTTCCGGCCCAAGGTGAGCGAGCCTCTGCGGAGAAGGCCCTCTGCACCCAAAGCACACCTCTCCCCCTTCCTCATTCAGTTTGAATCTGCTCTCAGAAGCATTCCGCCCCCATCAGTTCAGATCAGTTTTCTTTCTACAGCGCTGCTTCTTAAACTGTGGGGCTCGATCCCATTTGGGGTTCTTTTAGCTCAGGCATGGGCAAACTTGGGGCTTCCAGGTGTTTATTATTATTATTATTATTAAACTTAATTTGTACCCCGCTAGCATCTCCCGAAGGACTTGATGCGGCTTACAAAGGCCAAGGCCTCAACACAACAACAGCGCAACAACAATACAATTCAAAGCAAATTAAAAACATAAAGCAATAACAAAACATTACACCATTACGCAGTAAAAACCATGGCTGGGCCAGTGATGGGTACAGATTAAAAAGTGCTGGGTGTGACAGGTGGTATGATTGGATTACTGGGCAAGTGCAATGTGCAGAGAGTCTTAAACTCTAGTAAAGTGCTTCTGGGACAAAGTGCTGGGATTTTCCTATTCCGGAAAGGCACATCGGAATAGCCAAGTCTTCAAGCTCTTCCTAAAGACTGCCAACATGGGTGCTAGTCTAATGTCTTTGGGGAGGGTGTTCCAAAGTCGGGGGGCAACCACCAAGAAGGCCCTGTCCCTTGCCCTCACCAAATGCGCCTGAGACGCAGGTGGGATCGCAAGCAGGGCCTCTTCGGATGAACAAAGGGAGCACGTGGGTTTATAAACGGAGATGCGGTCACGGACTTCAATTCCCACAATTCCGAACAGCCTCAGGCCCTCCCCCCCCCCACCCAAAGAAATTACTGTGCTTAAGACAGATGAAACATGGTGTTGGAGCAGGCATGGGCCACCTTCAATTCTCCAGGTGTTTTGGACTACCATCATTTATAACAACCTCAGGCCTCTTCCTTTCTTTCCTCTCCTTTCCGCTTAAGCAGCTGAAGGGGAAAAGGAAGGAGCCAGAGAATATTAGGAATTGTGGGAGTTGAAATCCAAAACACTCAGAAGGTCCAAGTGTGTACGTGCCTGCTTTAGCTGCATGTTGGGGGTCACGAAAAATTGGACAACAGTAGAAAGTTTCTGAATGCCACTCATTTACACAAATTTGTGAGCAACAACATGCAGCATTTACAGTAGACTCTGCTGAAAATGCTTCAGTTGTACTGTACAATTCAGCTGTAATGCGAGCCTCTTTGGGTTCCGTTAGGGAGAAAAATGGGATATAATGTTTTATTGTTATTATTATTATTGGGTTGCTGTGAGTTTTCCAAGCTGGATGGCCATGTTCCAGAAGCATTCTCTCCTGATGTTTCGTCCACATCTATGGCAGGCATTCTAAAAAGTAAAGTATATTGGAAACTAGGCAAAGGAGATTTATATATCTGTGGAAGGTCCAGGGTTAGAGAAAGAACTTGTGTCTGTTGGAAGCAAGTGTGGATGTTACAGTTAATCACCTTGATTAGCATTGAATGGCCATGCAGCTTCAAAGCCTGGCTAGTTGCTGCCTGGGGAAATTATTTGTTGGGAGGTTTTAGCTGGCCCTGATTGATTCTTGTCTGGAATTCCCCTGTTTTCTGAGTGTTGCTCATTCTTTACTGTCCTGATTTTAATGGTTTTTAAAATAATACTGGTAGCCAGCTTTAGTTCATTTTCATGATTTTCTCCTTTCTGTCGAAATTGTCCACATGGTTGTGCATTTCAATGGCTTCATGTTATTGTTATTACTCCACAAAAAGAAAAATCAGCCTGTTCTGCAAGCCTTGCAAATGCTGTAAATTGTCAGTAAATGTTTGTACACAAAGCAAATCTTGTGTGTTGTTAAAGGCCTTCATGGCCAGAATCACTGGGTTCTTCATCCCACCCTGGACATTCCACAGATATATCAACTCCACTTGCATAGTTTCCAACAGACCCCACAACCTCTGGGGATGCCTGACATAGATATGGGCAAAACGTCAGGAGAGAATTCATCAGAAAACAAAGATGTCCGTCTCACCTACCAATATGAATTATTTAGGATTTCTGAGTGTTTTGGAATTCCAGAAAGGGGATGCTAATTCTATATTGGTTGGCATGGAATTTGTTTTCATTTGCCTACTCTTCAGATAGTGTGTTATTGCTCCATTACTAGAGGTTGCACTAGCTCAGGGCCATAAGTTGTGCAGCCCTCTAGGTGTTGTTATATCTCCCAGAATTCCTTGCAATTGTCAGTGTTAACAAGTGTTAGTGGGTCAACATTGGTATGAGTCCCAGCTGCATGATCATAACCACAGTAGCAAGTTGAGTCCCTCAAGTGCATATCATGTTCGTGCTTTTTGTCAAGGAGAGAGTTATGGATATCTGAAAGTTGCCGTTAAATAGTACTTTGACATTACTGTGTTAATCTGTGCCTTACTGACCCACAAACGAGGCTGAATTTGTCGCACATACAACTCTTTTGCCCTAGGAGTGTGTTGATATTTGGCCTTAGTGCTTTCCTCTGGCCCTTTCATATTTAACATGATCTCGATTCAACTTGAAATACTGATATTAACCTGTATCAACACACTAGCAGCTGCTGACAAGAAGAGAGCAGGGAACCGATTCTGACCAAAGTTGGTGTCTGTAATGCTGCCTCCAACTAGTATTTACCTCTGATGGTTTCTTCTGGTGCTGGCCATTTAGAGTCAGATATTTCATCTATCTGCTGCAATTCACTTGAAATACTCAACAAAAGTGATGGAGTTTCCAGTACATGTGATTTGTGATGCCCATGTGATATTTGCATGAAACTAGCAAAAAAAAATATATCTCTGGCCACCCAAAATACAGCAAATGCAATTGTCAGCAGTCATAGAAAGAACAAATCTAAACTAGTTACAGAAAAATAGTAAGAGCTTCAAAATGTTTTCTGAATCACATTATTTACAGCAAGTAGCTTTGAGTTTCAGGAAAGTGGGATATACATCTGCTTTAAATAAAAGAGATTGCTATTTTTGTGGTTATGCTATTTGGAGTTAGGAAGTCCAAGATGACTGAATACATTTTTCCTAATTAGAACTTTTATTAAATCTCCTTACGCTTTTCTCCCAAGGGAGAGAACAAGGATTTGCTCTTTATCCTGACAGCAAAATATAATGCCTGCATCCTTGAGTACAAGCAAAGTGGGGAGAGCATTGACATCATCACCCGAGCCCATGGCAATGTGCAGGTAAGGGAGAATATTGAGTGTGGTTGATAGATCATCACTGATAATCACATAATGTTGGTCCATTTTGTTCAATTCTGAATAGATCTCCTGTAATAAAGGTGGGGAACCAAAATGGGATTAGGTTTGGTTGAATTCCTCTATCCATAGATCCTTGGGCACCCTGTGACATCTCTGGATTCTTGACCAAAGCGGTAGGCAGAGCTTTCCCACACATCACTTCAACGAGGCATCTCATTTCATTTTTTTTTCTTGCCTGGAAAAGATGATGGGGGATTCAGTCATCCTCAGTTGCTCTTTTAGGAACTGCTAAGAGCTCCCACTCAGAACTTGGAAGAGAAATATTCAAGCAATGACTGAGAATACATGGGGCTAATGTTCCTCCCTTTTGTAAATGTTGTAGTCTCTCTCTGCCAAACAACATCATATGACATTCTTGTATATGTATGTTTTTAAAATGCTCCCCAGTGATGGTGTTTTTAATACTGTTTAAGAGCAGAAGTACTTTTTATAGTCTAATCCAATAGTTGTTCTGCGGCTGAACTGTCTGATTGATTTCTTTCTTCAAAAAAGAAGATCTGTGCACCAGTATGCAAAGAGAGGAGAAAGGGGAGGGCCATTGACATCTATGTTCTGTTTGCTGGGCTTCCTAGAAGCACCTGGCTGACCATGGCCGGAATGAGTTACTTTGGTGTGTGACTTTGCCAGCTCCTATGTAATTAAGATTCAGTGAATATCTGATAGCCCACTTTTCAATAAGTTTAGTATAAAATACTAGAAAATGATTGATGTCTTCAGTGGCAAATATATTTTTTTCAATCAACAAGACTGTGTCTTGGCCCTGACCTTGCACTGTTCTCCTAAGCTCAGCGTGAGAATCCTGAGCTTGGTCCCAATTTGGTAGTAAGGTAATGATTTACCTGTGCAATTGCATTGTAGTTTCAAGGTGTTTGGCACACTTGGAAGTGTAGCATGAAAACAAACTCTACTATATTTCTTTGGGCTGGAATGTCAAGGTGGGTTATACTGAAACCCTGAGAAAGAGCTCCAACCCCCTGCCAAAACAGTCCCCAACATAATATTTAATGGGAAGGTTGAGTTTTCTAATTGTCATGTTATGTCACTGACGCAATTGGATCAGCATGAAGCCTGTTATATTCTTCTATGTCCAATATTGTGAGAAAGTTTGGAGCTTGTCAGAGTTGCCACTTAATGATAAAATGCTTATAGGTGGAATTACGGATCTCCAGTGACGTATTGTCAAAGTAGCATTGTGGTTTTTAATAATACAGAAAATACCTCATAGCAAAGGTAGGATTACCACCAAGACTGTGCTTGACTTCATCCTGCTCCTGTTGTCTCAGTAGCACAACATGACAAAAGTAAGCATGCTCTGACACACTCATATTTTGGCTTGCATATTTAGTACATACTCAGTTAATTTATAACAATAGCTATTGAGATTAAAGAACCTGTGAGCTTGCCAGAACTATCAGTGCCCCTAAGGCGTAATCACACAAATGGAAAACACACAGGGGGATAGTGGAATAAATTCACTATATTCTGTACAAACAGTATTGCTACTAATTTGTCCATTTATATCATATGTGTCAAACTCAAGACCCATGGGCTGAATCTGGCCTCCCGTGTCATTTTATGTGGCCTTCCAGATGCTGGACTACTCTTTTTTCCCAATTGGTAGACATCATTATTAGAACTAATGGAAGTTGGGATACAGTCATGTTACTGGAGTTTGAATTTTTATATAAGGCTTGTGGATATGATGCCTGACTTTAAAATTCCCTTTAACCTTTGCCCAATCACAGAGCCACAAGTGCTGTTGGATTGCAATCCCCATTATACCCAGTCTGCATGGCTAATCAGGTGATGGGAGTTGTCATTCAAGTAACATCTGGGGATCCAAATTGGGTTAAAACTAAAGAGCACTACGTGAAAAAATATAGTTGGCTTTCAGTATTCATAAATTCTCCATCCACAGATTCAGTGGTTCTTTGAGGGCAACATAAGGCTGATGTGGTCCTTGATGAAAATTAGTTTGACATCCCTGATTTAAATATTAAAATTGTGTTACATAACAGCAATAATGGGCTCTATTTTGTATAGTCAATGCAAGTTAGCATTTCTTCAACAATGCGAATTATTTTTTTTAAATAATAATGATATAATGATAATAACCTCCCAGGGTGTATGAAGGGAAAGAGAGAATATCTATATTAAATGTCATATAGAATTTGAATAACATTAATGGTTGACTTTTCAAGTTAAGACTTCTTGAACTGAAGTACAAGTGCCAAACTGGGTGCACTTGCCAAGTGCTATTCATGCAGAACAATGCAGAATTGACAACTGTGAACCAGATGTGCACTGTACAAAGATTCTGTTAAAAGCACTTGCAGTAGTGACCTACCTAAGCAAGAGCCCATTATTCATTTGCCACATTTTAAGTGGCATGAGTGATTTGCTGCTGATTGCTGCTGATTGTAAGGCACAGACTTACCAACAGAAAATGTAAGAATAGTATAAATAAAGCCTAAATAGCCTAAAGGCAGGACATGCTGTCTGATCTCAGAAGTGAAGCAAGATCAGCCCTGCGTCGTACTTGCATGGGAGACTACCAGTGAATACAAGGTGTTTTAGGCCACTGCTTAAAGTGTGACTCCTGACTTCATATGTTGGGGGTTGTGAAATATTTGGCTGCAGCAAAAGGTTTCTGAATGCCACCAATTTACACTATCTGTTAGCAACAGTATGCAACATTCACAGTACTCTGTAGAAGGTGCTTCAACTGTACTCAACAAAAAGAAAAAAACAGCCTGTTTAGCAAGCCTTGCAAATGTTTGATTTCCTACCTATTTTGTATACCTATATATTTGGAGTCATATAAAAGTTTCTCAGGCAAAAAAAGGAGTCGTAAGTGGAAAAAGTTTAAGAAATCTTGCTTTAGGCTAAATTCCAGAGGAAGGAACAGGCAAAATTACCTCTGTGTATTCCTTGACTAAATTAACTTTTTGAAATTCGTGGGGTCAGCATGCATTGACAGTTACTTGAAAGCACATACATACACAGAAAAGTTCTGTAAGTGAATATCATTTTAAAAAATCAGACAAGGAATAGTGTACATTTTGACAGGTTTCAGTGGGTTTAATTGTGTATGTTTCATTTGAGTTACAGCTCATTTAAAGTTATACAGAATTAAGGGAGAATCTTTGCATTTTTTTCCCTGCTGCCTTCTAGGATCGTATTGGTCGTCCTTCAGAAACAGGCATAATTGGTATAATTGACCCAGAGTGCAGGATGATTGGATTGCGCCTCTATGATGGCCTCTTCAAAGTGATTCCTCTGGAGCGAGAAAATAAGGAATTAAAAGCTTTTAATATTCGACTGGAGGAACTGCAAGTCATTGATGTCAAGTTCTTGTATGGGTGTCAGGCTCCTACCATCTGTTTCGTCTATCAGGTATGCATGTTCAAGTTCTGTGTTGAAATGGAAACTGTTGCCCAGAGCTAGTAGTAGTCAGTAGTTTTTGAATATTAGAATATGATTAGTAGTATTAGAATCTGTGGTCATCCACTGAAGTTGAATGGGGGTAGATTTAGGAGAGATAAAAAGGGAGTTTGTAGTTAAATTCTGGATGTTGTTATCACAAGATATAGCGATGTCTGTTAACTGGGATGGTTTTAAAAGCAGATTGGATAAATTCATGGAAGATGAGACTATTGGTGGCTGTTTCTTATGTTTGTGCACAGCAACATTGCCCCGCTTTATATTTGTCTTTTATTTGCACTATTGGTGCCCTGGGTCACATAACACATCACCACAAATTTTCCACCATGTTGAGAGCTTAGGTTTTCAATACTCTTCCTTTTAAAGTTTTAAACTGTGATATAAGGCTGTCTCAATGCTCTGCAGGCATTAGATCCCACCTGGTTTCCGAAACCAAGGAAGGTTATGTCAGGTGCTATAGAGATGTCAAACAACCTCTGAATAAAAATTGCCAAGAAATAGCTATGATAGTTGCCATAGGCTGGAGTCAATTTGAAGGCACTTAACAACATCAACAATAAATAATTTAGATTTTTGCTATATCAGGCTTGCTCCCTGCCTTGATTATCAGCAGTATCCATCCAATAAATTCCCCTTCAATGGCAACAAAATGTGTGGGTGCTGCCATTTTAAGGAGAGTCTAAAATGGCTGTTATACATAGCCACAGAATACTATTGATGTTCCCAACTGAAGTATAACATATTTAGGGATAACTCTGTTAGTGTTTTTCAGTATAATAAGTAGGGAAGTGGGGATAGTGGGAGTGTGCTGTAGCATCTTCAAGACTACCTATCTTGCTTTAGTGGATTACAACCCATTTAATTAGATAGAGTACAATATGGAAGCTTCGGGTATGAATGTTCCAAAGCTGTGGAGGCAGATGAGAGTGAAATGGAATACAAAAGAGGCCAGTTGTCAAATTGGTCACAAACCTTCAAAGACTTGCCATACATTCTTCTTGATTATGTTTTATAACGAGCAATCCACTCTTTCATAAGCGGCGGTAGTGGTTAGCTGGTATGTCTGCCAACAAACTGTTTAATATACCATAGCTAATGTTTTTCATTAGAGAGAGGCATTTTATTCATCTTGCTTACTCTTGCATAAGCTGTTCAAAACTGTTTCTGAAGGTGGGATGGGTTATTTTTTGTCTTCCTACCTGCATATTAAATTTAATTTCATGACACATGGTTTGGATTGCAGACTAGATAAATATTCATCATAGATTTGTTATGAAAAATTCGGCAGTTTCCTGGGTACAGCTTTTCAAACAGTGTTTCACTGATTTGCTCCCATTTCCTCTCTTCTCATCTTTTTATGATGCCTTTAAGATTCTTGTTCATATAACTGGGCCAGTCTCTTTCTAAAATAGCTTATTCAGATACAGCATATCTGTTCTAACAAACTAGTTTGCTGGAACTGGACTGAAATTCTAGTGTTGTCTCCTCTCTCCAGAGGAGGTCTTTGGGTTTGTTATACAATAGTTTTTTAGGATAGTTGAATCAGTAAAGTGTGTCTTAAATACTTCATACAAATCATGATCTGATCAGTGTTTGCAGTCCCAAATTGAATTAAAGTTCCCAAATCCAGATTTTTCAATACTCCTATTCAAGAATAATCAAAAGAATGCTTACATAACATTCGAATTGAAAGAGTACACTAGCTCTCCCCCAAACCCCCTCCTCCTTTAGTTTTGTTGCTTTTTATGCATGGGGGACATCAAGCTGAAGCAAAACGCCTCTGCCATTCATGGACACTCTCCCAAGAGAGCTGATATCCAAGGTTTCCAGCTAATAGGGAGAGTTTCTGAGGATAGTAGCATCTCCCATCTTCTAGACCCACTGTTATTCACATACTTTAGGCAATGGAAGGGCCAATTGGAGGTATGCAGTTTCACCTTTTCCCTCCTTTCATACTGATTAAATACACTTGGGTCACACGTGGATCACTCTTTATCAACCCAATGTCTGTATGAGGTTTTGACTGTTTAGTGCAGCATGTTACATCCAGCCAGGCTAGAATTTATTCCATTCTGTAGGAAATGCTTAAAAATGCTAGAAAATGCTTAACTTTGAACTTCCTTTATGTGCAATTCTTTGAAAGATAATATTGTTTGCTGCCTTCATTAGAATAGTGGTCTGGTATTCTTAAATAATTCAGTGATCAGTGTGTTGTTGTCTTTGAGTATATTCTGTAGCTTTATTGTTAGTCATTCCTATTACTCAGACTATAAGCTAAATTCTATCTAGTTATCCTTATTACTCACCATTCTTAACAAAATATTATTTAGTTCATGACTTAAATATCAGGAAAAATTCCAAATAATAAAGTTATAAATTATAGCAAATTTTTTTGCAATATCATTTTCCAGGATGCCATAAACTTCTATAGTAAGGGGTTTGTAGTTATTAAATGAGTCTGCCAAATGCTAGTGAAGAGAAGTCATTTTTTGCCCGTAGGCTGACCAGGTTTGATATTGGGGCCCCATTTACACTGCCATATAATGCAGTTTGAAACTGTGATATATAGTTAGTGTAGACTTGCAATTCAGTGCAGTTAAATTGCATTATATGAGTCTACACTACCTATATAATGTAGTCCCAAACTGCATTATATGGTAGTGTACATAGGGCCTGCATTTCTGTCCTGATCAAAGCCTTTTGTTTGATCTAATGGCTTTCATTTTTTTTTCAAAAACCTTAACATTGACCCAATAAAACATCATCAGTTCTTACTTCTGTTATACTCTGTTCTTTAGCTCTTAGTTCACCACGAACATCCTGTGTATTTTACACAGAAGCATATACTGGTGCAACAGAATGCTTCATGCTTTTGCCACCAGTTCTCTTGGTTTCTATGCTGAGTGTGGAATAATCTGTCTGTCTAGTACGGAAGATTAGGCTGGCAGGAGAGGGGTGGGACAATCTATATCCACACTGCTTATTTGCTTGCCTTCTAGACTGGACTCAATTCTATAGGCTTTTATCTACTGTTCATCTCAGAATTATGGGCTGGTGGTCACAAGACAGTGCGATTAGTGCCTTTGGCAACAGTCCCCGAAAATTTTGTACTGGATAAAATCAATAAAGTCAACAATGGAAGGCCATATTCCTTCATCCCTCTTAGCTATAGGAGAGGCTAACAAAAAAGTACTTGAGTGCTCAGTGTGACAGCCCCCCTTTTGGATGAAAAGGAAACAAAAATGTTGTAAGATAGTAATTTTATTGGACCAACTTAATTAGCCAGGAGTACTGTCCTTTCTTGATTCCGCATTGATAATCACTATGGTGAGTTTTTTGAATTTATCTCAAATTCAAAATCACTTTGGCATTCCCCAAGGGACTGTGGATGCTCTTCCAGAAACACAAGTCCAAAACTGCCTTGAATGAGTGGAATTGTTTGACTTTGAATCCTGACTATCTTTGGGATTTTCTCTTCATCTGCACATCTTTAGTCAGTGTTTTAGCTGGAAGATTTCAGTTCTTACCCAAGTTATATAAGTCACTGAAATCTTACCAGCAATGCTTACATGGAAATGGAATATTTTAGTTGATATGAGGAGAGATTAGTTGTGGAACATGGGACAAGGAATTATTGTTACCCATTCATTTTGCTCAGAAAGACTCATTTCTTGATCTGAAAATAACTTGCAGGTTACATAATGTTCCAACTCCCATTGGCTGCTGTGGTACCAAAATAGCATTCTTCAGACCTAGAGAAGCTCCCACTCTTACTTTGTGGAACAAAGGTGCTCCTTTTAAAATTTTCAAATTACCTTAATTCGATAACAGTAGTGATAATTATCCCTCACTCATTATTACTTTTTGCATGTGGTAGTTTTAGAAAGCCAGCTATTTTTATAGGAGACTTTGAGACAGAAGCAATCTTGAGTTCTACTTGTCTTACTTGGTATTGAATGAGAGCACTGCAGTACTCGGTCACAAAACTTTGGTGTGCGTTGTCTTCTTCTCCCTAGGATCCACAAGGTCGGCATGTCAAGACGTATGAAGTGTCCTTACGAGAGAAGGAGTTTAACAAGGGGCCCTGGAAACAGGAGAATGTGGAGGCAGAGGCCTCCATGGTAATTGCAGGTATGCTCATGCTCATAAGTGATCTGTTAGCAGATGCCTAGACCGAAAAGCTGCAATTAGTAAGTCAGATTTCTTTATCCTTTTAGCATGTTAGCTATATATATTTCTGCAGTCACCTTGTGTTGACAGCTTTTCATACTAGCAGAAAAGTCTTACAAATTGCAGACAAGTCCCATTAATTTGATGGGCAGTCTGCTCTTTTATCAGTTTTCCTTGCCTGTGATGTTCACTTATGAACACTTGCATGCATGTCTGCTGTCCCAAGACCTGCTTACAGAAAGAATGTTCTTTTATTTGAATCCCATTTGAATGAGTGCAAAAACTCTTTTAACTTTATAATGCGTTCAAAAGTTATAGCTAGTGTTTTACTTATATTTTTCAGTGACCAACATGCATTTGCAAGCTAAAATAACCTGGGTTCTTTTCAGTGAATTCCTCCTTTTGGAAGTGCTCCAATCCCTAACTTGTCAGATAAATGGGAGCTTCCTGTATTGATGGCTTGGTTGCTAACAACCACTACAACAAGCAACAAACATGTAGTAGAAAAGCTGGTTTTGCACCCTTATATTCTTCAGCCACCCTTCTGGCCACTTTGGCTCATCTAAATATAGCAATCTATTGAAGTGCATAAAAAGGAGATTTTCATGGTAAAACCGTTATAAGCCTCTCTACTCCCAGTTAACGTGCTTGCAAATATTGGTGGTGGCGCCATTAGTGTTGCTGCTCCTTAGTAAATCTCACTTTGTGATTCTTCAATGACTTTTTGTGTCTTAGTGAATATGCAGAATCAAACCACCCATTGGTACCATATTTTTGAAACTAAAATATGAAGCTAGCAGCTGAGCCACCCATAAAGCTTAGCCAGCACTCCTCAGAATTAAAATAGAGGCTCAGAAATGCTGTTGTGGGTATGACTTATATATAGCCTTCATATGTTTACTGAAATGTTGCATGATGTTTTCCACCAGAATGATATATGCAGAAGCCTGCTAAAGAGAGTACACACAATTCTGCTTGAGTCAAAGCCGAGATCTGTCAGATTAGCTGGCTACATTTATGTAGTCCAAAAATGCTAACACTTGTGGTTTTTTAGTCATCACCTTTAAGGTACTTGCTTTCTGGAGGACCTCATGTGTTTAAATCACTAACAATTCAACAGGGATGTTATTTCAAAAAAAACAAAACAAAACAAGACCTAGACTGCAAAGGTGATTAATATAGTAAGGATAACTTGGGAGAGTGGATAATGAATGAGAGGCTGCAGAAACTTGTAATATTTATTTGTTTCTATGCTGTACTTTTTGTAATGCAAGATAATGATCACTGTCTAAGAACAGATTCAACTGCAAGAAGAGAAGCTAGACATAACATTAAAGTTCTTCTCTTAAAGTCTGAGAAGCAGTATTGTTATATTATAGTTAGCTTGCTGACTTCTATAAGTTTTTAGTTTGTTTTACTTTTTTCATAGTCACTAGTGCATACTCAGTGTTTTTACAAACTGCTTTCTTCCTTTGAAAAAGTGGGAGATTCTATGTGTATTAAAGAGCATTAAATAGTATTAAAGAGCAGTTAGGTAAGAATATAATTATGTCTACAAGAATTGCCATCAGATTGGAAAAAATCCACCCCCATACCAAAAAAGGGAAATGCTAAAGAATTCTCAAACTTTTGTAAAGTGGCACTTATTTCACATGCCAGCAAGGTACTGCTCTAGATCCTGCAAGGTAGGCTCTAGCAATACATGGAGCAAGAGTTGCTGGATTCAGAAAAGGCAGAGGAACGCGAGACCGAATTGCCAATATCTGCTGGATAATGGAGAAAGGCAGGGAGTTTCAGGAAAAAAAAAACATCTATTTCTGCTTTATTGACTATTCTAAAGTCTTTGACTGTATAGATCATAATAAATTGTGGCAAGTTCTTGGTGGTATGGGGATTCCAAGTCACCTTGTCTGTTTCCTGAGGAATCTGTATAATGACCAAGGAGCAACAGTAAAAACTGACCATGGACCAACAGACTGATTCAAGATTGGGAAAGGCGTACGGCAGGGTTGTATACTCTCACCGAACCTGTTCAACTTGTATGTAGAATACATCATGAGATGTGCGGGGCTTGATGAATCCAAGGCTGGAGTTAAAATTGCTGGAAGAAACATTAACAACCTTAGATATGCAGATGATACCACTTTGATGGCTGAAAGCGAGGAGGAGCCTTCTAACCAAAGTGAAAGAAGAAAGTGCAAAAGCTGGGTTGCAATTAAACATCAAAAAAACCAAGATGATGGCAACCAGACTGATTGATAACTGGTAAATAGAGGGAGAAAATGTGGAGGCTGTGACAGACTTTGTATTTCTAGGTGCAAAGATTACTGCAGACGCAGACTGCAGCCAGGAAAACAGAAGACGTTTACTTCTTGGGAGGAGAGCAATGTCCAATCTTGATAAAATAGTGAAGAGTAGAGACATCACACTGGCAAAGAAGATTCACATAATTAAAGCAATGATATTCCCCATAGTAACCTATGGATGTGAGAGCTGGACCATTAGGAAGGCTGAGCGAAGGAAGATAAATGCTTTTGAACTGTGTTGCTGGAGGAAAATTCTGAGAGTACCTTGGACTGCAAGAAGATCCAACCAGTCCATACTCCAGGAAATAAAGCCCGGCTGCTCACTGGAGGGAAGGATATTAGAGACAAAGAGGAAGTACTTTGATCACATTATGAGAAGAAAGGAAAGCTTAGGGAAGACAATGATGCTTGTGAAAATGGAAGGAAAAAGGAAGAGGAGCTGACCAAGGGCAAGCTGGATGGATGGTATCCTTGAAGTGACTGGCCTGACTTTGAAGGAGCTGGTGGTGGCGATGCCTGACAGGGAGCTCTGGCTTGGGCTGTTCCATGAGGTCACGAAGAGTTGGAAGCGACTGAACGAATGAACAACAAAACAATAGGCAAAGATTTGAATATCCCACACAGAAGAGGGGGAAAATTTATTGTGCTTTGCTTTTTTCTTGTAGTTTATTTCCTATTACTTTCCCCTATCACTAATCTTATACTCGCCTCATGTTCATGCTCTTCCTTACAGTGCCTGAACCATTTGGAGGAGCTATCATTATTGGACAAGAATCCATCACCTACCACAATGGTGATAAATATCTTGCTATAGCCCCACCCATTATCAAGGTGAGTGCATTTTTCTCTTTGGAAGATGTTGATGTGGAGCTAGGAGTATCACCCATTCTTGTATTCTTTCAGCATGTGTCCTTTGAGTATCTAAGCTGATATAGCTTACACATTGTACTAGGGCTGCACTGAAATTGGAGGGAAGGATTTCATGTACAGTTTTGTGTAGAAAGACCTTTGAGATTTGGGGCAGGTAGATTGCTGCAGAAAGGCCTACAGGTTTGCCTTTTCAAGGAGCATTACTATTCTTCTTGGAGCAAACAAAGCTTATTCAGTGACCCATGTCACAATCCGAGAAGCAGTGGTGTCACTTTAAATCAATTTACTTTGTCTGCAATAAAGTTTGCTTGTAGCTAAATCTTGTTGCAAACATAATTTGTGATGTTGACACTGTGACACTTCAATTTTGGGACCTTCGTATTTAGAGGTAAAAGAAAAGATTAGCTCTAGTTTTCAGAAGTTCGAACAGTTTAGAGAATTGCTCCTATTCCATCTCCACAATGCAGCACTATTGTTCTGGATCTGTTTAGGCAGAGAGTAGATTGTCAGATGTTTTGAGTTTTAACTTCCGTAATCATTCGTCATGCTGGCAGAGACTGATTGGGATTGAAGTGCAGAACATGTAGAGAGTTTCCATTTGCCCAAACATGCAGTGGTGAACTCTATGTGGCCCTTGGAGAGACTCTTGGACTTCAGTTCTCAGTAGCCTGAGCCAGTCAGACTGATGGTAGGAATGTTGAGAAATGTGATGCACAAAGAAGAAGAGAAGGTTGCTTACCTGTAACTGTGCTCCTTCAAGTGGTTGTCTGTGAATTCACACAACCTTGCCTATCCTCCCCTTGCCTTGTCCTGTGTTCCTTTAACTCTTTGGCTGCTGCTTTGGCCATGGAACTGAGGATTTAAGAGAGAACTTTCCTAAAACAGCACAGACACAGATAGCCCGATTGTGTGAATGCACACATGGCCACACAGAGAACCACAGTTACAGGTAAACAGCCTTTTCTTGTTAATACATAGTTATGTTGTGTTTTCTGGCTTATTTAAGTGTATCCAATAGCTTCCAGGTCTGAGATTTTTTTTCTGTCAAGAGTATCCACTGTAACCACTACCTTTTCTCTTAAAAGAATTCTGAATTATGTCTCTCTTATGAAACAGCAAAGTACAATTGTATGCCATAACCGTGTTGATCCAAATGGTTCCCGTTACCTTCTGGGGGACATGGAGGGTCGCCTATTCATGCTGCTATTAGAGAAGGAGGAACAAATGGATGGTGGTGTAAGTCTCAAGGATTTGCGTGTGGAGTTACTTGGAGAGGTAAGTCCCATTCTTCCATTCTGGTTTTGGTGGCAGCTCAAGCTGGAGCAGGCACTTGAGAAGCTAAAAGGGTTGGGAAGGAGGTCCCCTAGGAAATACTAGTAATTTTCTTTGCTTTGCTATAAAGTTTTTGAACTTGGTTTGAACCTGTATTAAAAGGGCCAGGTCTATCATATTAAAGAGGCTTTTGTCATCAAGAGAGTTGTCTGTTGGAATTCATACCCTTTGAGACTTTGTCAGAAATATACTTTTTTGTGCTTCTTCAGCTTATCAACTTATTTCATAAGTTGTTCCTTCAAATTGATTACAACATATAGCCTTCCCATCTTGTGATTTTTTTTAGTGAGATTTATTCAGAGGAGATTTGCCATTGTCTTACTCTAAGGTTTAAGAGAGTGTGATTTGTTCTTGGTCACCCACTGTAGAAGGATTTGAATCCCAGTATCCCACAGTTATAGTCCAACACTTAGGAGTACATCATGTTAGCTCTTGTACACACAGAAGTAGACGTATGGAGTGTTTATATCCTGGAAGTTAACCAAAGGCTCTTGGAGAAATGCGTTAACTTTATGACCATCCCGTGAAACTGATTTAAACTGAAAGAGAATGGTCTTGTCAGATTGTTCCTCTGTAATTTTATAGCTGTATGGATTCAATCTCTGTATCCTCCTTCAATTTTTTCTTGTATTTGTTTACCATGTATTTTATTTTTATCTCACATTTCTCTCATTGTGAGATCAAAGTAGCTTAAAATATACATTAGAACAGAACACACCTAAAGTAAAATTTAATATTAAACAAAATTAAGACAAGACTAAATTAAAAACAATGTAAAAAGAGTTACAATGTAATTAATGACAAAATTGCTGCAAAAAACCCCTACAAAAATATAATTTTGGTCTGTTGCATCACATGATCAGAAGATCTGACATATTTCAGAACTGGACGACTGGTAGTTTTTTCTCTGTATTGATATAATTGAATTGTACAATCTTAAAAACATTTTAAATGTTTTAAAATTTTAACATTGTATTTTCCACCTTATCCACATGTAGACATCAATTGCAGAATGCCTGACATACCTAGACAACGGTGTTGTGTTTGTTGGCTCTCGACTTGGAGACTCTCAACTTGTGAAGGTAAAGTGTAGCCCTTGGTGAATTCTATAATTTGATTGTTGTCAAAGGCTACTTGCTTATCTTCTGCTTACTATATACGTAAACGGCATATCTGCGGGGACACTCGGTTTATTTTTACCATCCCTCATAGTTTTTACAGTTTGGCATATGTGTCAATGTCTTACTTTGGTGTGGTTTTCTGGAAGATTATAGTAGTCTTATCTCCATTACTAGCTCAACGTGGACAGTAATGAACAAGGTTCATATGTCGTGGCCATGGAAACCTTCACCAACCTTGGACCCATTGTGGACATGTGTGTAGTAGATCTTGAGAGACAAGGCCAAGGGCAGGTAAATTTCACTCTTTCTTCCATGTGTTTGGATTTCTTATCTTATTAAGAGATGACATTCTCCACCGTGTTTTAATCCTATCTTCTGTCTTAAGTTTCTCTGAGCTGTATATATGATTCTCCTTATTCAAAAGACAGATATTTTGCCTTCACAAAACACTGAATTGTTAGTCTAGACAAAATTGTCTGATCTGTGATTAATCATCGGTCAGTATCAGGGCTGCACAGTTTTGAATCCAGATCTTTCTGTGCCAAGCCTGATGCTCTGTGTATTGTATCATGCTGGCTGTTGTTAATCTGATGAGAGACTCAGAAGTTATTATTCCTCTGGCTATTTGGTGAGTAAGATAAAGATACGTTAGAATTTAGACCAAACAAAGCTGGGCAATTTTGCTCATTAAATAAATGAGTTAACAGGGTTAGCTAGCTTGCTTGATTTTTTTCCTCTTTCACCACTGTTATCACTATGTGCTGTGTATGTGCCTTCAGGTCACCTGTTGATTTATGGCAACTCTATGGTTTCATAGAATTAGATAAGGAATATTCAGAGGTAGATTTAATAGTTCCTTCCTCTGAAATAAAGCCTATAGCACCTGCTATTTGTTGTTTGTTTCCCATCCAGGTACTAAGCAGGTTAGCTTCCAAGATTCAACAGGATCTGGCACCTTTAGGGGATTTAGGCACTATTGTTATCGATAGAGAAAGAGAAAGAAAAATAACTTCATCTCTTTGTAAATGGGCAATAATGTAGGAAAATAAGATCTAGTCCTGTCACTCTGCTGATGGAATGACTTCTATTAGCAAATAATAGTAAAGGCCTCTAGCTTGGGTGACTTCAAAAGACTTTAAAGCAAAGTCCTGGGAGATGGGACTATCAGTAGCTTTTCATGATAATGTTGTGTATTACCTCCAGTGTCAGAGACAGTATAATTATTCCTTGCTGGAAAGTATTGCCTTCCTTGTGAGCTTCCTGAAAGGCATCTGGTTGGCCTTTGAGGAAACCTGCTCCTGTGCTGGACCTGATTCAGCATTTCTCCTCTAGTGTTCACAGTGTTGGTTTGAGAAAGGCTTTTTTGGGGGAATTGTGCACTATTCCCGAGTCTGATGAGTGGGCTTTTTCTCAAAAGCTCTTGCTTTTCCACATGGTTTGGGCTGACTGCAGGACATTGTCTCCATTGGGACCATTACCTCGATGACCATATGTAAAATATAGGGAAAATCTATTTATTCTTCAGATCTAAACTAGATTAATCATGTCCAAAGATAAATGTTATGTTTGGGACTCCTTATTGTTAGTACCTGTTTTGAATGAGAAGGTTTTAATAGCAATCTTCATTTTGTCACAGCTGGTTACTTGCTCTGGTGCTTTTAAGGAGGGCTCTCTGAGGATCATCCGGAATGGCATTGGGATTCATGAACATGCCAGCATTGATCTGCCAGGGATTAAAGGTGTGTCATTCTGAAGCAAATTGATTATTTATAGCACCATCTTTGGCTATGATAGCACATGTCAGAAACAGTTACGGTTTGACTTATTGCAAAAGTAGTCACATAATCAGTTTTACAAATGAGCTTTGTTTCAGTACAGAGTTATAATCCAAATGATTCAGTACTGAGGTTTATGAAACTGAAGGTGTTTAATAAAGTTTTAGGAGGTCAAACAAGTTTTCAGAAAATAAGAATCCCATTTAGTATCTCATTTTTCTTTAGATCTTACATCTCTTTAGATCTTACATCTTCCCCGTTCGCATTCTTGCCTTGCCTTTCCTGACTTCCCTCCCCGCTTATTTTTTTAAAATTATTCTGCGTACATTCTTAAAATCGGGATGAATTATATGGAGTAAGTAAATGTGTAGTTGTTAAACTAAGTTACACAACATGAATATTGTATTTTCTCATAAGAAATGAGGATAGAGATGTCTTTGGTTGGCATATATTTGGTTTTGCATGCCACTAAAATATTTAATTGAAACACAAAATATTTGTCCCTGGATTGCAGGATTGTGGCCTCTGAGATCAGACCCTCATCACGAAACTGATAACACTTTAGTGCTGTCATTTGTGGGACAAACCAGGTAGGATAATTGGGATCTGTTGAAGGATTGGGTGTCCTAATAAAGATTATTGCATGTTCTCTGCTGAGTTTCTCTTGAACTTCCTGCATCTTGTAGGGTCTTGATGTTGAATGGGGAAGAGGTAGAGGAAACAGAGTTGACAGGATTTGTGGATGATCAACAAACTTTCTTCTGTGGCAATGTGGCTCATCAGCAGCTAATTCAGGTAATGGCTAGGTTCTTCTTGAGGATCAATCTCGATAACTTGATGTCTTGGCAATGTTGGAAGACAATAGATTAATGAACAGCCTGGTTTTGAGCTGGGAAGAAACAACTATTTTGGTAAGAAGCAATTATTTTGGTTTCTCATTTCAGATAACATCCGCCTCAGTACGACTTGTCACTCAGGAGCCCAAGGCCCTTGTAAGTGAGTGGAAAGAGCCAAATGGGAAGAACATTAGTGTGGCTTCTTGCAACAGCAGTCAAGTGGTGGTAGCTGTAGGGAGAGTGCTTTACTACCTAGAGATCCACCCCCAGGAACTCAAGCAAATAAGGTCAGTGTGTGAGACCCCTGTTCTGGGCTGTTTTGTGTTGAAACTTTGTTCTGCTGTAATACTGATTTGTTCCTTCCTTGTCAGTTGTACAGAGATGGAGCACGAGGTGGCCTGTCTGGACATCACTCCCTTGGGAGATGCCAGTGGCATGTCCCCTTTGTGTGCTATTGGCCTTTGGACCGACATCTCGGCGCGTATTCTTAAGCTGCCCTCATTTGATCTGTTACACAAGGAGATGTTGGGAGGAGGTAGGAGCTGCTGGTGTGTAATCTGCATTGGGAAAGGAGAAGGTCTGGAAACGTGATGTTGACCAACTCCATTCCTCTCTTGCAGAAATTATCCCACGTTCCATTCTGATGACCACCTTTGAAAACAGCCATTATTTGCTTTGTGCCCTTGGAGATGGGGCTCTCTTCTATTTTGGGTTGAACATTGAAACAGGCAAGTTATAGCCATGACTGTCATTACAGTTTCTAATTTTGCTACGGATTGTGTAGACATCCATTCCAAATGTGACCCCAGGAAATTCACGAACACTCTTGCAGGTGACTTTCCCCTTTGCTCTAATTTCCTGAAACTGTTACCTGCTCTGCGTGTACTAGATAAAGAACTCTTGACATGGCAATGCATTTCCTCTTCTTTTTTGCACGTTCTAATGCTCATTAACATTTAATGCTGTTCTGTTCCTGCAACAGGTTTGCTGAGTGATCGTAAGAAAGTGACTCTTGGAACTCAGCCCACTGTTTTAAGGACATTCCGCTCCCTTTCCACCACCAATGTATTTGCCTGCTCCGACCGCCCGACTGTGATTTACAGCAGCAATCACAAACTGGTCTTTTCCAATGTCAATCTTAAGGAGGTGAACTATATGTGTCCTCTCAACTCAGATGGATACCCTGACAGGTGGGTGTGTCCCATGGCCTGTAGAGCACAGCAGCTCACTCCCCCTGTCCCTTCCTGACTAATAAGTATTCGCGCCATCTCTATATCTAAGTTTGAAGGGAAAGGGTTTTTCCTCTTTTCTTTCTTCTTATTCAACACTTGATAAGTCACTCTTGCTTCCAGAAAGACTCTGGCAGTGTTCTCTCCCCCCCCCCCCCCCCCCCCCCCCCCCCAAAACTGGTGTAAAACTTTAACAGGGAAAACCATGGATCATGCACTTGCTCTTTTGCATATGATTAAACTCCTTCCCTATTTTGTTTCTTCTTCCTTTTAAAGGTGAAATGTAGTCTTTCACAAGTCGGCCACATACTGGAATAAATGTACTCCTCTTTGTCATTATCTTTGCAGCCTTGCTTTGGCCAACAACAGCACTTTGACAATTGGCACCATTGATGAAATTCAGAAGCTCCACATCCGTACTGTCCCCCTTTCGGAGTCACCCAGGTAAGTAGATAAAAGAGATTGCTGCCCTTTTCTTTGCCCAAATAAGCGTATTCTTCCTTTTTCTGGTGTGTAGAACCATGTATAACAATAAATCAGCAGAATGCTGCTGCTACTTGGAGCACTAAGGTCTTTTAAGGGGGTTTGGGGAAAGGGAAAAAGTGAGTATGAACCTCATTTCCTATGTTATTGTTTGTGCGCTTGTTTATTGTCTTTCCCTGCCCTTGTGCCTGTTTTTGTCATACAGGAAGATCTGCTATCAAGAAGTATCCCAGTGTTTCGGTGTGCTGTCCAGTCGCATTGAGGTTCAGGATGCCAGCGGAGGCACCACAGCACTGAGGCCTAGTGCAAGTACTCAGGTAAAAAGCACTGTGACCAAGACCCAACATCGGCACATAGCTCTGCATGCACATTTCCATATCCTCCTAACCACTGGCAATTGGTCAGTCCTTGGCAGGGGCCCATGCACTGCTGCCACTTACTGGTTGGGATGGAAGGGACAGAAAAAAGAAATCAAACCACAGAGAATAATCTGATTTCAGCTTTGTTGGAGGAAGTAATGCACTATTAGCTGGAGTGCAGTAGCCCAAAATAGCCAGATCCTCATGATGTTAATTACTTATCTCCTCCCCTTCCCAGCAATAAATGACAGCACAAAGGGGCCTGGGATAATCAACGAGTGGTCGTGAATGTAAGGGAGATTTAATTGTAACAAATTTTGCACATTTTAGCAGCATAGTATCACTCCAATACATGTTCATGGATTGAATAATTTTAAAACAATTTATTGTCTGTCAGTGAATTTTTTTTTTTTTACAAAGGCTGTGCTGCAGCCACATTCTGCTTTTATTTCTTGCCCTCTGTCTAGGGGGATGTTTTTTAGCAGCATCTGCATTTGGGAGCGTTGTAAAGTAGGGCTGGAGAAACACAGACATTCAGTGTTGGGGTGCAGTAGCATCATCAGCAATGAACCTTGTAATAAAACTTGAAGTGGGAAAGAAGACCTTGCCTGACCTTGTTTCATTTCATGTATGCATATTGTTAGTTATAAATGAAAAGATTTTGGGAATATGGTAAACTTCTCTTTTTCTTCCTCGTCATCTGCCTGCCTCTTCTTTTCTTTTCTCCTCTTTCTCTTCTTCCCCATCCTCTTCTTCTTTTTCTTCATCATCTTCTTCCCTCTATTCCTCTCCTCTTCTCTTTTTTTCTCTTATTCTCCTTCTCATCCCCCTCTCCTCTTTGCCTTCTTTTTCTTCCTCTCTCCCATCTCATCCTTAATTTTTCTCCCCTCCTCTTCCTCCCCTCCTCCTTTCCTCCTTTCTCTTCTGTCACTTTCCTAGAAGTGTTGGGAGAGGGGAGAGACTCCCTAATCCCTGCCCCCTTTTTTCAATGTAGGGATGGGGCTTGGACTAAACCAATGAGGAAGGCTTGAAGTGGGGGAGAGGGGAACCTACTGAGTTTTCTACATCTCAGGGGAGGAGGGAAGAGGGGCCATTGCTCATGCACGGCTTCTCCCTCTCCCCTCCCTGGTGGCTTCTCCCTCTCTTTCTTTTCCATTCTCCCTCCCCACTTCATTACACCCCCAACATCTCCCTAGTTCTCCCTTAATATATATACACACAGAGTGAGGCTGTATCTCTAAATATAGTGAGAATCAGAAGAGCAACATGGAAAAATCCCAAAAAACTAGCTGAAATATGGGATTTCTCAGGAAATATGGGACAGTTGGTCATTCTGAAAAGGGCCTCTTCTGAAGTTTGACCATTGTTGGAAGATGTGGGGTTTTTGGATTATGCAGAAAGGCAAAATAATATCCCATTAGGATATCATCCAAACAACTGGTATAAGTTCTATGACTTTTGCAACGATAGTAGAGTCTCGCTTATCCAATCCTTGCTCATCTAGCATTCTGTATTCTCCAATGCATTTTGCCTCCTGTGCGGATCCACAGCTGTTTCAATACATTGCGATGTTTTCGTGCTAAATTCGTAAATACAGTAATTACTACATAACGTTTCTGTGTACTGAACTGCTTTTTCTGTCGATCTGTTGTAAAACATTATGTTTTGGTGCTTAATTTGTAAAATCATAATGTAATTTGACATTTAATAGGCTTTTCCTTAATCCCTCCTTATTCAACATTTTTGCTTATGTGACGTTCCGCCGGCCTGGATAAGTGAGACTCTACTGTATACATGGCACATAATATTCTGATCCATGATGTCATAGAGCATTGTTTGGTGAGTTGCCCTCTCCATCTCTTGCCTAACAGTTTGAACTAGAGTGGAGAGTTCTGTAATCCTCCCTTTCTTGGACACTTCTGCTATTTTACTGAATATTGGGGCATCTCCAGTTATTTGTTCTCCTAATTTTCTATTGTTTATTTAAATTTTCCCCTCTCCCCTTATAGGAATATCCCTCAGGACATCTTGGCATTTCATTCCTTCTAGGCTCATTTCCAGGCACCTCTTCAATAAACAGGAAAAAAAAACCTGGCAGTATTAATCCACTTCTTCTTGATAGTGCTATAAACACAAACAGTCTCCCTGGCCCTTTCCATTGTCTCCTTCCTCTCAGTCCAAATATGGCCCTGATCTGTGTAAGCGTGGCATATCTTTATTTGCTAATGCAAGCTCTCCTTTTCTCTTACACATGTTGGCCATCAACTTGCTTTATTCATTGAGTCTGGGTTATTTCATCTTCTTTGTTGTACATTCCTGTTTTCCTTCTCATCCATGTTTCCACGACCCATAATTCAAAAGAGGTACTCTTTTCTCCATGTTTCAGGCCCTCTCTAGCAGTGTGAGTTCCAGCAAGTTGTTCTCTAGTAGCACGGCCCCACATGAGACATCATTTGGTGAGGAAGTGGAAGTTCACAATCTGCTCATCATAGACCAACACACATTTGAAGGTATTATTCCCAACACATGCAAAGTTGTATTTTTTACACTTTGTTTTACTGCTTTTCAGAACTTGAGAAGCAATTGAGGATGTGAGGAGAGGGTTTTGTTGGGGTAATTTGAGGAAGATGCTGAAATGGATTCTGCTTTTTAAAGGGGTAGCTTAGGGTAGTTTCGAATGTTGTGCATTTCACATACAGTATTTCATTGGAGAACTTATTTGGGATGTTAATTTAATTCTTCACTTTTTCACCTTCAGTGCTTCATGCTCATCAGTTCCTGCAAAATGAATATGCACTAAGCCTGGTTTCCTGCAAATTGGGCAAAGACCCCAACACATATTTTATTGTGGGCACAGCTATGGTGTATCCTGATGAGGCTGAACCCAAACAGGGACGCATTGTGGTGTTCCACTATTCAGATGGTAAGACTTGGATATCTCATGAAGTTTCCACATTGCTACTTGGGAACTGTTGAGATTTTTGATCTTTTAAAGCCCATTTGGCTATTATTATTTTACTTGGAAAACTGTTCTGTGCTTATAGAAGAGATCGTTCATCTGCTCTAGAAGCCATGGGCCCTTTTTATTGTCTGAAGAACAGCCTTATCTGTTTCATATGAGTCGAGGGATGTCTATAGCTTTTTATAAAAATCATAGCATTTCAACATTTTAATTTGTTTTCTTATTTATAAGTGGTCAATTGCATAAAATAATCATGAAAGACAACTATACACAAGCTAGAATCCATCAGAGAATGATGTTATTGTAGTGAAACACTTTTAAAGCAACAAAAATACTGTATTTCTTAGCATAATGGTCACACACCATCATTTTGGCTGTCCCAAAATGGGTTTTTCCCTCTTTCTTCTGCGTGGTCCCTGTGAAATGCACACATATAGGTCTCCTGTGTCTGCGTAGACAGTTTCGGATTTTATTTAATCGCATAATAGTCACACTCCCATTTTTTTCCAACAAAAAAGGGGGTAAAAATGCAACAATTATACCATGAAGTACAGTAAATTATAGATTTAAAAACAAGAAATTGAAAGTCCTAGAAAAATCCAAAATCTTTAACTAGCCCCAGAAACCTCAGAATAAAAATTAAATTAGTTAAATTTGAGTAGAGCATCCTTTTATTAGTATCCTCCCATCTTATTTCATCAAATCATACTCTTGAAAAGACTGCAAAGGCCATCCAGTCAAACAACTTGCCATGCAGGAATAAAAAATCAAAACACTCCCAACAGATAGCCAGCCATTCTGGGTTGTTGTAGGTTTTTCCGGGCTATATGGCCATGTTCTGGACGCAATTTTTCTCCTGACATTTCGCCTGCATCTATGGCAAGCATCCTCAGAGGTAGTGAGGTAGTGAGGATGCTTGCCATAGATGCAGGCGAAACGTCAGGAGAAAAATTGCTTCCAGAAAATGGCCATATAACCTACAACAACCCAGTGATTCCGGCCATGAAAGCCTTCGACAAAGCCAGCCATTCTGTTTAAGAATAGGAGATTCCACCACATGTTGGAGAAATAATAAAAAGAGAATAATAATAAAAAGAGAAATAATAAAAAGATCCTGAGACCTGAGATCGGTCTCAGGATCCTAGCAGAGCCAGATGGGCAGAGATTTGGAGAAACAAATCAGGTTGTCCCTTTAATAATAAGTTTATTTGTACCTCGCCACCATCTCCCCGAAGGAACTTGGGGGGACCCATAGAAGCACTTCAAAGTGCCATACATAAAACAACAATACATAATCATATAAAAAAACAATATAAGTCTAAGAACAACTAACACCTTTCCAAAGGTGACCATAAATTTTCAGAACTGTCCTCTAAGTGCTTCCCAATTTATTTTTGTTTTCTATGTTTATCACATTCATATTCTGACCTTCAGCTAGAATGGTTACCAGTACATCTTACAGACAAATGAAAGCAACCCAGCCCTGCTTGCAATCTAATAATTATGTGCTGCCCTCCACAGCAAAAAGATAGGTAGCACCTTTTCACCAGTAAAAGGGAAGTTTTTGATGGAATTATTCTCATGGTCTTAGCTGCTGATTTCTTTCAGTGTTGTATCAGGAAAAGTCTCAGGGAGGCAGAGAGATTATAGCTGTACAAACCAATGGTATATCAGGTTCTAATGTGAATTGTGTCATTGCCACAACACTTCTGGATAGGGATAAGCATTGCAACCATGCCTTGATACGTCTTAGAGTGTAACTCTTTGTATTTTGGAAGCCTCGTGGAATGTCAATTTTTCAAGGTCTGTTTTATTAATCCCAGGTAAATTGCAAACAGTGGCTGAGAAAGAAGTGAAAGGGGCTGTCTATTCCATGGTAGAATTCAATGGAAAACTCTTAGCCAGCATAAACAGCACGGTAAGGTTCCCAGGGGCTCTCCCATTAGTGTCCTTCTTTAAATGAAGAGGATAATCATTTTGGACCCTGGTGGTCTTGTACCTGACGGTTTCAGCATTGGCTTTCAGGGGTCTGACTTGTTTTCCCAGGTTCGGCTGTATGAGTGGACAGCAGAGAAGGAGCTTCGCACAGAATGCAATCATTACAACAATATCATGGCCCTCTATGTAAAGACAAAAGGCGACTTCATCTTAGTTGGAGATCTGATGCGCTCCGTCCTTCTGCTTGCATACAAACCCATGGAAGGGAACTTTGAAGAGGTAGCTTTTCTATTTCAGAAAAAAGATGATTTGATGGGGAGATCTGTTTCTCTCTATGTTTGATTATGATATTCTGATTTTGGGTTGGGCTTTGAACATAGCTTGTCAGACCTACCTCAGGGCTGCTGTTAACATTAGACCAGGGCTAGAGAAAGGGCAAGCTTTTTTTTTTAGGCTCTCACCCCCATTTTCATTGTATTTTCTAGGTTCAAAAAACAATTTTTCCAGGACTCTTGAGGTGCAGGGGGGGGGGGGGCATTCTGAATTTTAAAAATTAAGCAAAAAATGGGGCAGGGGCTGCAAACCTCTAATTGTTACTGGGGGGGGGATGGGAATGGGAACCCACCAAATATTGGTGGGTTTCCAAATATTGGTGGGTTCCCATATTTTTATGCTTCTTAAATCAATGTTAGATAAAGGCAGTATGCACCAAGTGTGTGTTGGCCAATCCTTGCATTAGACAATATGAGGTAGGTGCCTCAGGTGCCTGTTTACTGTACAGAGTTAGCTTAACTTTAAGCTATTTCTTTCTTCCTAAAAGATGCTGCCTAACACAGAATGCAAATACAGGGTATTTGCAAACATTAAACATTGAAAAACAACACAGCCAGCTCAAACCAGACAAATGACATTTGAAATGGAAACAGGGTCTCCTTCAAGTTAGAAGATTTACACTGAAACAGTAACTTGCCTGAATTCAATATCTGTAACCCCAAATTGACATTTTAATCGTAATGTGAATGTTTGTTGAAGTAGTATGATAGTTGCTTAGAATTTTCACTCACAGGTAAAGGTTGGGGCCACATCAATTTTTTTGTTGGAAGTGTTTTCTATATCTCTCTTTTTAGATTGCCCGTGACTTTAATCCTAATTGGATGAGTGCTGTGGAGATTTTGGATGATGATAACTTCCTAGGGGCAGAGAATGCTTTCAATTTGTTTGTGTGCCAGAAGGACAGGTGAGATACCTCCCCCAAATAGAAGTACTAAGGGGCGCAATTGACCTCTTCAGTAGCAAGTGAGGATGAGGGAGATGTTTCTCTGTCCTTTGACTAACAGGCATTCTGCCTTGCAGTGCTGCCACAACAGATGAGGAGCGTCAGCACCTGCAGGAGTTCGGGCTCTTCCATTTGGGTGAATTTGTAAATGTCTTCTGCCATGGTTCCCTGGTCATGCAGAATCTCGGTGAAACGTCCACACCGACACAGGGCTCTGTCCTCTTTGGAACAGTCAATGGAATGATTGGTAAGGTTAGAGCCATGCAGGGACCTTGCTGTCTCCCTAAATAGCAGGAGGATAACTTTGTCATCACTCTTGGCAGACTTTGGAATATGGAACTTGGTAGGGTAACAGTGGTAGCAGACTGCTAAGGGGGAGGGGGGGGGGCTAAGCTTTTAAAAGAATTGGAGTAACTGAGAATTGGAGTAACTGAGAGAAAACAGGGGCTACAAAATTATGCTACTTAAATCAATGTTAGATAAAGGCAGTATGCACCAAGTGTGTGTTGGCCAAATAACGGAGGGTAACGATGTTGATGGTTCTTATTTTTTAGAAAGATTGTAACAGCTGTAATTTCCTTTCACAGGACTGGTGACTTCACTGTCAGAAAGCTGGTATAACCTCCTGCTGGATGTGCAGAACAGGCTCAACAAAGTCATTAAGAGCGTAGGAAAGATTGAACACTCCTTATATCCTTTCCTTGTCCTGTCAGTGTCCTAATTCATATATAAAATGCTTTACACTGTTTGGCTATCTAGAATAATATTTTGAAAGCAAGGTTCCAAGGTAACATTTTAGAATCTACTCAACAAAGAAGTGAGGAAGGAACCATTGTGGACATGAAAACTGCATTCAGGATGCCTATATGCAGAGATAAGGATTTAAGAGGGAAAATAAGTGAAAAATTGTTTTCCAAAACAGAAATGTCTAAAAATTGTTTAAGAGAATGAACAAAATGAATATCATAACTAGAAACCTTCTAAATATAGAAAGCTGGAGAAAGCTTCAGAAAAAGGGAGAAGAACTAAAAAGTCTGAATTGAAAGATAAGCAGAATAGTAGAAAGGCATCACAGTACAAACTAAAGCCTTAAAAGTATGAGTAAATATATTAAATTAGAGCCAATATGGAGACTCGTACAATGGAGATTTTTTTTTTTATCAGGAGCGACTTGAGAAACTGCAAGTCGCTTCTGGTATGAGAGAATTGGCTGTCTGCAAGGATGTTGCCAAGGGGACGCCTGGATGATTTGATGTTTTTATCATCCTTGTGGGAGGTTTCTCTCATGTCCCCGCATGAGGAGCTGGAGCTGATAGAGGGAGCTCATCCGCCCCTCCCTGGATTCGAACGTGCGACCTGTCGGTCTTGAGTCCTGCCGGCACAGGGGTTTAACCCACTGCACCACAATGGAGATGGGCAGGTGGCATGAGCTGCAGCACTGAGAATAAAAATCAGGAAAATATGGAAACCAGGGGATTTTAACCAGGTCCAAATGAGTAAAGAAGATCGACACAAGGAGAAAACCTTTTCTAAGGATGAAGTAGGGCTGGGACATGAGTGTGAGCAAAGCATCTTGGGATCCAGGCAAGAATGATCACTACTGCATTGGCAATATTAGTAGGAAACGGGTTCTTGGGGATATTACATAATTATTAATGCACATTTTTGCAGTACAATAATCCAAGGATGAAAATGTCTCCCTCTGAGGAATGATGCTTTGACTATTCTTTTAATTCATTTGTAATTTGAGGTGCTTTTCAGACCATAAGTGCTATTACTCCTATGGGGTCAGAAATGATTTCAACATAAAAGTTTATGTTAAAGGATCAGACAAAACTTTTATTGAGACATTACTGGAGAACTGAAAGAGATGAAGCATACTTAAAATAATGTGAGCTTCATATGATTCCTCAGTGGGTCTGTAAGCGTGCCGGGGGGGGGGGGGGGATAAGAACTGAGCCCTGAGGCACTTCACTGGCACATAGCATGAGATACATTTTCATGAAATATCAGTAAGAGTGACTGAACAGGACAAATTCCTGAAACTCACAGGTGTCCAAAATAGGAATGATTAATTCTGTCAAAATAGCAGGGAGATTAAAATGGATGAAGATAGAGGAATCAAGATGTGACTGGAATTTTTAAAGTTTTTATATAGGAAAGTTTATGAAAGCAGGCCCAAATGCAATAGTAACAGATGGAAATTCCAGATGATGGTTATTGGCATGCTCTTTCCTTTTTAAAATGTGGGAAGGAAGCCAGAAAGGTATTTTTAAAAAGACAGGATAAAACTTTTCACTCATACTTGCCTGAAGTCTCAGTACTCTGAGTAGGTCACTGCCGTTAGCCAAGTATATTGTCCACTGTAGTCCCATACATAGTTAACCCTAAAATAAAACTCTTGATCTATTAACTGGAGATTGCCTTGAAATAGGTATGCATAGGTATGGGTATGCATTGCACTGTAGATAAAAAAGATACTTGTAAAGTTGATCAAAAGGATCAGAATTTGTCAAACCTGAGATTTGTTTTAAAGCACCCTGCCACTTTATAAACTCCTTATAAAGTATATTATTTGTACAAAGGTAATTGGACCAGTAGGGTAGACTTTATAATATAAATTACACAAATGCAGATGTGTAATTTATATTCTGCTTACTATTCCCTAGAGGCAGCTAACTTATATTGTGACTTCATAAAGCCCTGTCCTTCAAATTAAAAATGGGGCTGTTTTGAGCAAGAAATCCTAAATGGTAATGTATCATCACATACGCTGCTGCCTTGTTGCCATGGAAATATCCAAGCATGGCTATTAAGTTTGCTTAGATAGTAAGGGAACTTCCATCACTAGTTTGAATGACAGTTACAAGTATTCTATCCTTCCAAGGTGGTGGTAACTCTCAGTTACATATAGTACTTAAATCTAGACGTACTTTTAGCAGTTCTGTAAGATTGCTGTTCCTTTATTAATAGCTTGGGTAAGCAGGATATCTCTGTAGCTTGGCAGCATGTGATGTTTGCTGGTTTACTGATGTAAAAAACAAAAAAACAAAAAACCCAAGTTTGAATTTTATAGTGAAGAGGATTTTTTTTTTTGTTAAGCTCCTGGTATACCTAATGTATAGTCTCTGGATCAGTTTTATCAGTAATCATGATATGTCATATTCACATTCTTTATCCACTCATCAGTGGATGATATATTTTCCCCCAATGATGAAATCAGTTTAAAGAAATCTAGTTAGAAAACCAGTATTTTCTTTTTTAAAATTTCATAAATTATTGAATATCTGAAAACTACACGCAGGTCTGTTAAAGTGGGTGTGATCCTTCTTTGTCAAGGAATGATTATTTCATGATACGAAATATCTGGATTGGATATATATATATATATATATATATATATTTTCACCCTATATATACCCCGCCTTTCTCTACCCCGAAGCTGTCTGCCTGTGAGAAGTGTATGAATCCGATACATGGGGGGGGGGGGGGGGGGGGGGGTCATTAAGAAAATCTAAGAATAGTTGGCCGAAGGTTTTGTTTCCTTGATTCTGGATTGTACTTGGAGATCATTTCACACAGAACGCAAGACAGAACCAGCAACAGGATTTATTGATGGAGATTTGATTGAAAGCTTTCTAGATATTAGTCGACCCAAGATGCAGGAAGTGGTGGCAAACCTACAGGTGAGATGGGAATGTTGTTGTTTTTTACAGTTTTTAGGCTGCTATTCCTATTAATGAAACAAAGTTGAAAGGTATATGTTTTTACCTTGGAACAAATGCTCTTCAAGTCAGCAGCACCTCTTTCTGCATAAACATAGTATTGAAGTAATCACTATGGGGGAAAGCAAGCTTTGGTCAGATCTCACCTGGAATACTGTCCAGTTCTGGGTACCACAATGCAAGAGGGATATTGACAAGCTGGAAGGTGTCTAGTTGGGGGCAACTAAATTGATCAAAGACCTGGAAACCATGTCCTATGAGGAAAGGCTTAAAGAGCTGGGTATGTTTAGCCTGCAGAAGAGAAGAGTGAGAGGAGACTCGATCACCATGTTTCATTATTTGAAAGACTGTCATAAGGAAGAGGAAGCAGGCTTGTTTTCTGCGGCCCTGGAGACTAGGACATGGAACTACAGGAAAACAGATTCTACCTAAACACTAGGAAGAACTTCCTGGCTGTCTGAGCTATTTAGCAGAGGAACTTGCTACCTTGGGAATGTGGTGAAATCTCCTTTAAAGGCTTTAAAACATAGACTGAATGGCCATTTGTCCAGGATGCTTTCATTGTGCTTTTCCTGCATGGCAGAACGGGGTTGGACTGCATGGCCCATATGGTCTCCTCCAACTCTATGATTCTATGACTATCTTAGGAAAAGAAATATCCTTGTTTTTGCAGAAGACTTTTCTCCCCTTGATGTTTTTTTCCTTGTTTCAGATTGATGATGGCAGTGGGATGAAGAGAGAGGCCACCGTCGATGACCTGATCAAGATTGTGGAGGAGCTCACCCGTATCCACTAGCTGGATGAAGAACAGTTTCCTAGCACCTTCCTTCCTCCATCCTAGCATATGGAGTCTTTCCCCCACCCCTGCAGCTGGGGACCCCCTTTCCAGTTGCACTGTAACACTAGCGACAGTAGCAGTGTACCTGGGAGGAAATGGGGAATCTATGTAATGAAGCTGTCTCACTAGGGACTTGGGGTGCAAATATGGGCTGTTGATGGCATCATCTCCTGCTTCGATTTGCTCATCCTGGGGCTCTCATCGGCCCACCTAGCCCTCGTCCTAGCCAGTTGTTCCTATTGATAAACAGCTAGCAGTTGACAAAGGTGCACCCCCTACCTAGACTCTTCCCACAACTCATTTGTTGTTGTCTTTTACTCTCTTTTTAGATTTATTATTTTTGTTGTTCCTTGTGTTTTGAAGTGGGAGTCTTTCTTTTCTCCCCCATTCCCATTTTCTTCTTCATCCATTTTAATGCAATGTGGCTAGATGGCATTAGGGAGATGGACATGATGCCTACTCTAGCTTATAGAGGTGCCTGTTTGGGTAAGGAACCCGAATGTGGGTAGATGGCCTCTCTACCCCCAGGCCTGGCTACTCATTCAGGGAGAAGGGGCTGAAAAACAAAAATTTCTGTTGTTGATTTTGGAATTTTACCAAATAAAAGTAGTCCAAAAGGAAAACGTTTGGTTGCTGTTGTCTTAATCTTCCTCTGAATACTGTATAACAACAACATGAAATAGTCGATACTCTTCTGTTTGCAGTATTTTACTTACTCTATTTTTAAGCATGTCAGCCTGTCTAATCTTTCTTCATTAATGTCTAATTTCCTCCAAAAATCCCTCTGTACAGACAGGCTTGCAAAGGAAACCTGAAGAGCCTGTAACTTAATGGAAGAAGGCGTGACTTTTCTCTTTACTGATCAGAAAAAAATGTGGTCATGACAGGATTCTCTTTCTTTACAATAAAAATCGTAGACTTATTTTCAAGAGAAAGAAAAGGTGCTTACTTTCATTTGCACTGGAAAGCAGTATTCTCCTAAAAACTGGTCATGGGTCTTTCTCTGTAGGTGAAAAAGACAATTTCACTAGGTTTGGTTTGTTGCCTGCAGCAACACTTGCTAAATATTATTTATACATATACATATTATTTGATACATGTTTATTAAAAATTTCAGTAATATAATTGTTGTTATACAATGTATAAAGACAATAATTTTCCTATACGTGACATACTACTACTACACCAATTAAAACTAGCTTCTTCCCTCCCCCACTAGAATTTTTTTTCAAAACAATAAAATTAAAAGGTTAAAATGGACTTCCTGCCTCCCTCCTCAAAGATAAAACATGAAAATATTATTGTAGTAGTACTAATCTTCGTTCTTCCTGGCTATCTCAATGTTTTACTTAATCTTTAAAACCCACAAGCATGTTTACATTTTTTTCCCTTGTGGATAATAGAAATGGTTCCCAGTCTTTTAAAAGCTTGTCAATTATCTTTTTTATCTAACAGATAAGCAACTATTTGATGCCTTCAACAATGTACAATTAAAATAAAAATTGAAATTAAAGTGCATTGAAACCATCTAAAACATTCCATTCATTATTAAAACCTGCTATCCACAATCGTAATCTGGGCCATTCCAGTAGTCATTGCACATAATTCCATATCCATCTATTGCACCATAGTTATTTTCTGAAGGCTTGATCCCAAAGCCACATCTATCCGAAGATCAGGAAGGAGTGGGCTGATCTAATATCACTGGGGAGGGAATTCCACAGCCGGGGAGCCACCACTGAGGAGGCCCTGTCTTTCATCCCCACCAGTTGCACCTGCAAAGGAGGCGGGACTGAGAGCAGTGCCTCTCCAGATGATTTTAATCTCTGAGATGGTTCATTGGGGGAGATACGTTCGGACAGGTAAGCTGGGTCGAAACCATTTAGGGCTTTATAGGCTAAAGCCTGCACTTTGAATTGTGCTTAGTAGCAGCCTGGCAGGCAGTGGAGCTGACGCAATAGGAGGGATGTCCTCTCTCTCTGCGCCACTCTGGTGAGCAATCTGGCTGCTGCCTGTTGGACCATTTGAAGCTTAGAGCATGCTGCAGTAGTCTATTTGGGATGTAACCAAAGTATGGACTTCCGTAGCCAAGTGTGATTCCCCAAGGTAAGTGTGCAGCTGGCACACAAGTTTTAATTGGGTGAAAGCTCCCCTGGCTACTGCCAAAACAAGATAACTTAGCCATTTCTGCCAGTTCTAGAACTTTTATAATCCATTTTAAGGGGTATTTAATTTTCCATTTTTGTGCATCTCTCCATGTTTTACGGATTCTATCCTGCCTACTTTCATCTCTGTGTTTTAAAGGAAGCAATTCCCAGGACCTGTAGTATCTTTAACAGATCTGTACAAATCCATTTCCACGTGACAGGTGACTTTTACCTCCCATCTCTTCTAAAGATGCCCCAAAAAAACCCACTTTCGCAGGCAGCACTGGGGTTCATTAGTTATGTTACACAGTAATTCTGTTGTAAATATAGTAATGAGATGTTATGGTGGCTAGAGCTAATGTAATATAATATAAACCTGTCCACTGGTTAAAGCATTCTCATAGTAGTCGGCTAGATTGCATACAGATGAATGAAGATCTCAAAAGTCTCAATGCTGAGCAGATGGAGTGGTTCTACTTTTTATTTGCTGCTGGTGTCAGATAAAGGTGGTCTCTCAGCAGATAGAGGTGTTAGTGGCCCTGCTTGCTGTCATGTCCTCTTCTGAAGCATCTCCGGATCTCTCTCTGCAGCAAAAAAAGGCAACTATGTATGCATTCATTGTGTCTGCAAGCAATTACCACAAACATGTTCCCCAGGTTTCCTGTCGTAGTCCCTGTGAATTGTACATTTGGTATTCTTGCGCTTGCGCAGTGCAACTTCCGGAACCTTCTAGAAAGTAAAAAGAACATCTTAGCCCCAGCTAGGCCGCCCCCCCTCCTCCCGAGTATATATATCCCGAAGGCGGGGCTAGCCAACAGTTCTCTTAATCCGCTCGCATGTGCATAGCTGAGAGAACCTTCGATCTTCGATCTTTTCAAATTTCTTTGACTGACTTACGGACAGCTTGACTTGGACTGATTTTTCAACGATTCTTCTGCTTAGCCCCTCTATTTTGACGCTCTGTTGGACTGATCAAGGTGCTCTGACCCCGGACCGGCTCCCGACTACTCTCAAAGCCACAACCCATGGCTACTATAAGTATAACATAATAGGAGCGGGAAATGAATGGAAGGCAAGACTATGGCAATTTAAAGCTATAATATATCAAACAGTCAACAATGAATTATGGGTTGATACTATGGCTGCTGAATGCGTCATGGAGGAGGGAGAGGCTTCCGTTAACCGGGGAGCCCCCATAGAAGTCGTGGTGGGGAGGGGGAGATACGGGAAAAGGAGACCTCTAATTCGGCCTAGGGAACGTGGAACAACATTAGTAATTCCAAGTCGGTCTCCTGATATGACAAGTTGGTGTAACCAGGATGGCGGTCCCTCCGAATTGAAAGTGGTGCTGTTGAACGCCAGATCTGTCAATGGCAAAACAACCTTCATCCAGGACTTAATCCTGGATGAACGGGCAGATCTGGCGTGCATCACGGAGACCTGGTTGGACGAAGCGGGAGGTGTAAATTTGACCCAGCTTTGCCCGCCAGGTTTCTCTGTGCAGCACCAACCGAGATCCGGAGGGCGGGGAGGCGGAGTTGCAGTGGTCTATAGAGATTCCATTCTTCTGACCAGGGCCCCCATCCCGCAGTCAACAAATTTTGAATGCGTCCACCTGAGGGTGGGTGACCGGGACAGATTAGGGATTCTGTTAGTGTACCGTCCACCTCACTGCACTACAGTCTCCCTGCCTGAGCTAGCGGGGGTGGTCTCGGACCTGGCATTGGAGTCCCAACGGCTGCTTGTGCTGGGGGACTTCAATGTCCATGCCGAGGCCGCCTTATCGGGAGCGGCTCAGGACTTCATGTCTACCATGGCAACCATGGGGCTGTCCCAACAGGTATCTGGCCCCACCCA